TGCATGCTGGTATTGCAAGCATGTACTTCCATGTCCAGCTTTTCTGCCAACTTTAAAATAATTAATTATGACTTAGTTGAGTCTCAGGAAAAGACTCTCTGCAACATCATATTAAGTATATACTATAATGATTCCCTTGATTCTTTCCCAAGGACATCCACTTCCACTTGTTTTATAGTAGATGTTGGGGAAGAACAGATTTCCACATATCTTGGGAACTACTAAATACATGGCCAGAATTGACATTGATACTCAAATATCTAAAGCAATATACCTACTAATGATAGGTCATTACCCAGTTTCTACGTGTACAATTGTAATTGATAGATTAACTTTTATATACTACATATATATTATATATTTATGTATATGTGGTATGTGTGTATATATACATATTCTAGCAGACAATAAAAGTTGTCAGTTTGGCCAAACCATAATGGTAGAAAGTGGAGGGATCATGACTGAATTTCAATCTTGCAAGCTGATCCCCCTAATATGACAAAGGTCTTTCAATAAAGTAGCCATTGTGTGGTAAGTCAGCTATAATGGGACCTTTCCCTTCTATCAGTGAATCTCATAGGCTTAGATAACTTATTTTGGGTTTGCATTTACATTTTTTGTCAGTCATGGGGCTTTAACTCAAGGCCTGGGCACTGTCCCTGAGCTCTTTTGCTCAAGGCTAGTGCTCTACCACTTGGAGCCACAGCTCTACTTTCAACTTTTTGGTGGTTAATTGGAGATAAGAATTTCATGGATTCATTCATCTACTGAGGGGCATCTGGGTTGGTTCCATATCTTAGCTATAGGTCCCTTGGTTTCCGTTATTTGCAATAACTTGTCTAGGACAAGCAGAAAAAGTCAAAAGCTATGTACATATGACCACATAAGATGATGCTAGCTAGGCTGGGCGCTGGTGGCTCATGCCTGTAATCCTAACTACTCAGGAGGCTGAGATCTGAGGATAGCGGTTCAAAGCCAGCCCAGGCAGGAAAGTCCGTGAAACTCTTATCTCCAATAAAACACCAGAAAACCAGAAGTGGCGCTGTAGCTCAAGTGGTAGAGTGCTAGCCTTGAGCTGAAGAGCTGAGGGACAGTGCCCAGGCCCAGAGTTCAAGCCCCATGACTGACCCATGCTAGATGATGCTAGCAAAATGAACCCCAGATACAGACACAAGTGGTTTTATCTTTCTTGCTGTTGTTTCTAATGTATTTATAATGTACTATGTGATTTTTTTTGTTTCTTTTGTATGTTCTTCCCCCATGGTATAACCCCTGTTTTCACCATATTTGATTCCAGTGCCTGCATCTTGTATATACATTTTTCTAATTTGGGGAAGGGAAATAACAAAATGCTGAAATAAGGATACAGGTTGACCCATTGTAACAATGAGATGTAAAAGACACTATGTTGAAACGAACTTAACAACTTTGGTGGGGGGAGGGTCGGCAGGAGGAGTTAGGGAGGTGGGGAGCCAGAGGATGGTAGCGGAAAACAAAGGAGGGGGTAACAATGCTCAATAGGAAATGTACTCATTACTTTACTCATGTAACTGTAACTCCTCTCTACAATATTTTTACAATAAAAATATATATAATAAAAAATTAAAAAGAGTCCATGGATATTTCTGCCTGGGGTGGCTTTGAACTGGAATCCTCAAATCTCAGCCTCCTAAGTAGGTAGGATTACAGGCATGAGCCACCAGTGTCTGGCCATTCATTTACATTTTATACCCACTACATGTCATATAACATGCTATCTGGGAACTTATAGTATCATGTTATGGTTTGAGTATGTCTCCCACTGGCATATGTGTTGAATGTTTAGGCCCCAGCTGGTGCTGCTTTTTTAGAAGGATCTGGGAACTTTAGAAGCTGGAACCTAGCTGAAGGAAGCAGGTCATTATGTTCATTTCTTTAAGGGTTACATATAGTTCAGAGTTCTTCCCTCTTTATTTCTGTCTGAGATGAATAAGTTCCTCTTCCACAAATTACCTTTGCTATAATGTTCTGCCCAAGTTTGTGGGGCCAAGTGTCTGTGGCTGGAATCTTCTGAAACCTTCAGTTAAAAAATATTCTTCCTAAAATTATATTACGTGAAGTAAGCCAGACCCAAAGAAACATAGGTCCCATGGTTTCTCTTATTTGCAATAACTAGTATATGTCTAGGACAAGTAGAAAAGGTCAAAAGCTATGTACCTATGACCATATAAGATGATGTTAAGCAAAATGAACCTCAAAATAGGGACACAAGTGGTTTTTTCCTTTCTTCCTATTGTTTTTAACATATTCATAATGTACTATGTGATTTTTTTGTTTCTTTTTTATGTTCTTTCCCCAGGGTATAACCCCTGTTTTCACTGAATTCACTGTATTTGTTTCTGGTGCCTTGCATCTTGTATATACATTTTTCTAATTGGAAGAGGGGAAGGGAAATAAGAAAATGCTGAAATAAGGATACAGGGTGACCCATTGTAACAATAAGATGTACAAGACACTATGTTGAAAACGATCTTTACAACTTTGGTGGAGGGGGTAGGCAGGAGCAGTTGGGGAGGTGAGAAAGGATGGTAGGGGAAAAACAAAGGACGAGGTAACAGTGCTTGCTAGGAAATGTACTCCATTACCTTACTCATGTAACTGTAATCCCTCTGTACAGTATTTTTACAATAAAAACATATAAAAATATTCTTCTTCTTCTTCCTTTTTCAGATTGTTCCTGTCAGATGTTTTGTCATATTAATCAGAAAAGTAACCAACAGAGAACATTGACACTAGAGAAATGTGGTACTTTCTGTGGCTAAATCTGACAATAGGGTTCATAAGGTATTTGAAGTCACGCATAGAAGAAAAATTTTAACGTTTGGCGATCGTAGCCAGGTGTCAGTGGCTCACACCTGTAATCTTAGATACTCAGAAATCTAAAATATAAGGATCCAGCTTAATATTGTGAGTCAGAGCCTGAGAAATCAGAATGTCTATAGGAATGAATATAGTAAAAGCCAGGCTCATGAGGTTTCACACAATAAATGGTACTCTATGGGGAATCAGACTAGAGACCATTTATGTTACAAATTTTGTCCACATATTTATCTATGTTGTTTTAGAAAAGAAAGATGCCCATTGTGAGACATTTCAGATATTGGTCACAACATACCAAAGTCAGACTCTACTCATGGAAGGCTTGAAGATATGAATGAGTAATCACATTTGAAGAGTGTGAGAAGAGAATTTCTCCTATGCATCTGTTCACAAATGGAGGCTTAGGAAGAATTTAATGCAGTCACAGACCAAGTGTTTCTAATTGTTTCTCAAGCTAGTAGCAGACAGCAGGAGAAGAGAGATGGAAAGAGGCAGCTACAGGAGCAGGGCAGGCCAAGCCTGTGGAAAGGCCTCTTTGCAGGGGAGAGGCCTGCAAAGAAGGAAGAAGGAAGGAAAAGGAACAGGAAAAGGAAAAGCCTTCCTGTTAGGCGATGTAATGCTTAGGAGCTTTAGAGGGTGGTGTTGGAGGTTTGCAGACCGAAGTTTGCAGACCAACCAAGGTCAGGGCTGCCCATTGGAGGCTCGGAGGTGTGGTGGTTGAGGCTCTTGGTTCTGGGTAGCTAGCCCAGGATAAGGTAGTCCCAGGCCCCTTTTCTGGTATAAATAGTATAAATAAAATTCTTTTGTCACCTTTAACTATGGATTGTCTCGCTCTCAGGTCATCATAGAGTTACTTTTAAATAGTTTTAAAACTTTTTATTTATAGGGTTGTTAGAAATGGTTTAAGTGCATTTTGCATTATGAGATGGAATAATGTCTTAGTTGCAACACAAAATTTCCTGTACAAGCTCATGCATTGAATGTCTGTTTCCCAACCTGGCACTATTATTTTGGAATGTTTTAGAAACTTTAGGGGGTTTTGCCTAGTGAAAGAACTAGGTTACTAGGTGATGAAGGCTATCTTTCAGAGATATATCTTGTTCTGTATTTTTATACCCCAATTAGTCCTTTGTCTCTAGGAAAGAACTGAAAGTTAAAAATACTTTAATGTAATAGAGAATTGTTTAGGAAACCTAGGCCTGATTTATTAAAGTCTGGGGAACATAAAGGTACTCTTGTATTTAAGAAGAGAGTTCCTACGACATTAACAAATGGTTTAATTTTTAGGTTTTGTTAATATTAAAAAAATAAAGTTTAAGCAAACAGTTTGGTGCCCAAGCTGTGAAACCATTACAGACTGCTGTTTTCAACTTTGGCAGGCAATTACCTCGTCTGTACAATATATTGCCAGCTGATACCTTAAGCTATAATAGTCTCTGTAAAACAGGTTTATCTCATTTTATCATTTATGATTTAATGTCTTCCATTCACTTGGTCTTGAAACCTTGAAAATAAATGCTCAACATTTGGTAATGTTTATTCTTGATGGACTTTTAGTCAAGCTATTTGTAAAAAGTCTGAAAAAATCCTGCACTCTCCCTAAAATCTTCAGGGAAAGGTTGGGGTGAGACTCAGTATTGTGATGCTTGCCTACTGTGTAATTACTAGGTTGAGTACCAAGGCTAAAAGAAAATATTTTTTTTTTGGGGGGGGAATATACTACTAAGAACATTCTTGGCAACTGATGAGTTTTAGATAAAAATTCATCTGCTAAACCTTAATCATTAGCTAAACTTCCTTTGAGGAGGCTGAAGGCACACCAAGAGGCTTGTCTCGCAGTACTACATTTCCCATCACACACTGGGCGGCCCTGTGGTCCTCACTATTCAGGGGCTTTCGTCATTTCCTGCCGCGCAGCCGATGGATTCTGGATTTTGTAGTTCTCTCCCAGTTCTCTTTGGTCGCCGTCTTGATCGTGGGAGTGTGTGGCCATCTGGACTACTTCGAAAGTGGTATGATGTTACGGCTCCTTCACTAGTCTTATTTATCAAGCTCAACTTAGTGTGAGTGTTGGTTTCTCACGCTCCGCCTCTTTCCTGCTGCCGGTACCGGGAAGGGGAAGTGATGCACTTCCGGTGCCATGGCGGCGCGGTTGAGCCTTAGGTAATTATCGAACTCCGTCGACTCGCCGCCCTGGGCGAGCCGGGTCCTGGGTGGCGGGTGGCCGCGGGCGGTGGGTCCGGGAGGCGGAGGGGCGTGGGCGCGGGCCCGGTGGTCTGTCGTGGGCGTCACGGGGCCGCGTGGGGTTCTACCCCCGCCCCTGGCGGGCCCGCGAGCTGGGGGTCGGGCTGCGGGCCGGGCCCGCGCGTCGCGGCGGGCGGGGAGGACTCGCTCTCGGGGCGGCGCGCCCGGCGTGCGCTGTGCGGCCGCGGGCTCTGTGTGGGGCCGCGCTCCGCACCCGCGCGGGCCCCCCCCCTCTCCGAGCCGTGTGCGCTCCGGGATGGATCACTAACCTCGCATCCCCCGAGGGGCTGCAGGGCCGCCCCCTTTCCGAGTTGGCTCTTTGCAGCCGCGCATCCCTGGCAGTGCTTCTCTAAGATGTCATTAGTCTGAAAGGAAAAGTATTCCCCGTGCCTAAGCCCGGGGCACATTGCTTCCCGCCGTGTGTGCTCTGCATCCGTCATTGTTCAGAAGCCCGACCACCAACTCGCTGCAGGAGTTCCGCGACTCTCAAATCCAGTCTGCAGTTTACTGAATTTACTTGTTCGTGTAACAGGATTATGCTAGTTCGTATGTGTGTGTCTAGTATATAAGACATTACATATAGTATATGTAGTATATATTACTGAGGCTAACTAGAAAAAAAATCTCTTTACCTATTATTTGATCCTCAGTTCTTCACGGGAAGTGGGAAAAGAAAGATTCTGGGAAAGGCTATTTCTAGATGCAAAAAAAATGGTTGACTTACAGTGCAGTTAACCTTTCATTTTTAAATGTTGAGAGCAGAATAGATAATAGGCAGTCTTGGTTTTCAGACAATCAGTTAACATGACTTTCCTTCCCCTCCCCCACCTTTTTTTTTTTTTTTTTTTAAAGAAAATCTGTGCTTAGACCTGTCGGTTATGCCTAGTAGTGCAGGAGGCAATATCAGTTACTATCCTGTGAAAAAGTAGATTTAAAATTGACGTGAAAAGTTGTTTGAACCTAGAGAAGCATTACAACAGGGAGTATCTATTAAGAGAAGAAACTTGGTTATGTTGGTGCTGGGGATCTATTAGCTTAACGGGTCTATCTTTGGGGGGCAAGTTATTTAACTACTGTAGTCTAAGGTCCTTCATCTGTAAAAATGTCAGTACTTCTATCAATGGATGCCAAAAACCCTTACCACTTAGATATGAGGAACCATGGTTCATTTAAGCACTACACAGTGCCTAAAAAAGTGTTAGCTATTTTATTTCCTGCTGCTATATAGCAGCTGATGAATACTTTTTGTTATCATTCCTGTTGTTTGGTTCCAAGTACTGTTCTTTACTCATCTGTCAGGTCATGGCTAGCACTTCTATTAAACCATACCTCCACTCCAGATTTTTTGCTACTTAATTGGAGATAGAGTCTCTTGAGGGCAATTCTGCCTGGACTGGCTTTGAGCTGAGTGCCTCAAATCTCTTAAGATATTAGGCATGAATTACCAGTGCCCAGCATAAATTTTAAGTTTAGAATTGGAAGTTTTTAAGGGTCCTAGCTTCTGGATATATTGTTAAGAACTTCTAGGTTCTACTGTGTTCATACAAGGTCTTTCATGTTCCCTCTCACTTATGTTCAAATTTCTGTATGTACTTCTTGGCCTGATTAAAGGACAGGAATCATCCAGGCCCTTTGGTTTTTTTGTTTTGTTTTTGTTTTTTGCTTTGTCTGCATTTCTCAGTGCTTACACACTTGAATCTCATCTCCTGAATGACTTTTTCATGTGAATAATTCCTATTTGTCCTCCAAGACCACTTTGTGTACATTCAGGGCTTACTTAGTTGCACTTCCTCCTTTCCAGAAGTACTATTTTTATAACATTGCTATAACAATTAGACTTTGCTCCTATTTTGTAAGTGGGCATATTTACCTTTTGATGTATTGTGCATGTTGTCCGATACAGATATCATCTCATTGTACATGGTTTATATAGGCACTTGTCTTTACCAAGAAGACCATGGCTGTACTTCACTCTCTTAGCTTTATACCTCCTCATTTTCTCTAGTCACTTTTCAAGCCATTAATTAGTAGATCTATCAACTGGTCTTCAGCTTATCTTGTTTTTTTTTAAAATCTTTTATAGATATTTTTTCAATTGTTATAACACCATAGACTTCTGTACAAATACAATTTTATAATATGAGGAAGGAAGGAGTCATTACATGATCATGTTTATTTGAAACAAAGAAGTTAAATAGAGGTGAAGGTGATGATACAGATTTGAAACTTAAGGCTTATTTTTTATCATGGATATGGATATAAATTTATTCACTAGATTTAAGAAAAAGATGTGATAGCACTATTTACTCAGTGAATGAGATGCTGTGGTCACTGAGTAAAGATAATTCATGCTTTCAAGAAGCTAAGCCAGAAGCCAAGAGAAACCAAGGATGTATGGGGGAAACTAAGGTCAAGAAGAGTTGTAGGCTTGGGAGGATGTAAGTGTCAGTGCCTGAAGGCATGCCAACTGAAAGGATGCCACTTAGTATTTGTTCAATAGCAGAAGAGCTGCTACAAGTTAAGAAATTACAATTCTGTTAAAATCATATACAGACAAGTATTGTTAGCAGAGAATAGAGACAGAATTTAAAGAGGACAGTTGGAAAGTGTGGAATAGTATTGAATGTGTCTAATGGAATGTGTTTTTAATTTGGAAGCTTGGTTTTCCAGTGGTCAGCTTAATGTATTTAAACAATATTTTTGTCCTACATGAATAAAATACTAGTTAGTAATATATAAGGACTTAATATTTTTAGATTTAATTTGGAGAAGCTTTTAAAGTCAAGATAAAGACTTGGTGAGAAAAATTATTCCATCTGTCCTAAAATGAAACTAAGGTGGTATCATTAGGAGACTTCCCTAAATAGAGTCGTCCCCCATTGTACACAGCTTAAAGTAATTGGGAGAAAATTAGAGACAGATTTGCTTCAACTAACTGAGATCAGAATTTGGTGACTGGGAGAATAGGAAATTGTCATTTGGGAAGTGCTATAGATGATAATTCCAGGTGAGATGAGAAGAAAATTAATGTGGAGGACCTTTGAGATATTCACATAGAGTTTCCAATGGCCACTAGGACGTAGAATTTGGAGCTGTGTAGAGAAGTTTGGATTGGAGTGAAAGTTTTTATGTTAGTTGAAGTTTGGGGATAGAGATGGTCTCCCAGAGATAACATGGAGGGTACTGGAAAGGGGTGGGGTGGGCTCAAGGGGAAAAGGGTAGGAAAAAAGAGAAGAGGGGGTAAAGTGAGGAGGAGAATCCAATGTATATCCTACAAAGTTTCAGAAGAATGAGGGAAGGGGTGGGTAGGGCATGGGTAGGTGAGAATGTTGAAAGGGCTGACGTTGATCAAGATACATTGTATTCATAAACTGCTTTGTTAAATGGAAGCTCCTTTGTACAACTACTTAAATATAATAATTTTTTTTAAAAAAGGACCAACACCACTCATTTGTTCTTTTAATATGTATATACATATATACAGAGAGAGAGCACTCTAGTAATGAGCATTGAGCAATAACAACAAAAATGCAAGAGCAAAGATTAAATCCTATGTCTGCTACAAAAAAAAGCTGGTATTAAAGGAGAAAGTAACAGAAGAAAGGAATGGAAACATTACAAGGTCTATGTGAAATTGAGAAGAACTTAAAGAAAAAGGGGATTCCCTGAATCAATGCTGGAATACTGTGTAACAAAAGTGAAAAGTTGCCCCTGGATTTAGCACCAATAAGGTCAAATTTTAACCTTGTTACGTGCTGTGGAAGAATGGAAAACCAACATTGGTAAGGAGAGGTTTGGTGAGGTTAAGAATTAGAGACTTCAAAAATGGACTTACCAAAATTAGTTCAGCTGTATAAAGGAGGAGAAAGTGGAACTAAATAGGGGACAGGATAAAAGGATTTTGACCTATAAATGTCACTTTTTTCCCTTTTTTGGCCTGTACCATGGTTTGAATTGACCTTGTATTCAAGAGGCTTGCTCACTCAACTGGCACTTGAATTAGCAATTTGCTAATCAGAGATTGACTCTCATGCTCTTTTCTTCCCAAGCTGGTTTTGAAGTATATATAATATCCAAGTGAATGTTTTTTTTTTTTGTAATATCTGATTGCTTAAATATAGGCTGGTACAGTCTCAACTTTATGATGTAGGAAATAGTAGATAATCCTTCCAATTTGTCATAGGTAGTTTTTGGCGTAGATGCTGGTATTACCTGGTGCGTTAAAATTTATTTTTTATGCCTGAGTTTTACTCTTAAGTTGTTTTAAATTTTATGGTGCTCTGTCCTTTTACAAAGCATCAAAGACCCTCAAGTGTTTTTCTGTTTATTCCTCTCTCATTTAATAAAATCTAGAACTTTCTGCACAGTAGTTGTACTTGGATTTGTAATCATTCAGTGATTATGAAACAAAGAACACACCTGCTATATGCAGTGCATAGGAATCAAACAACAAATGAGTAAAGGCCAATAAATCTTGGTAATTCTTGGAACCAGAACTTCTCTGAAATAATAATTGTTTTGATTTGAGAAAAAAATGTAGTGTATGTATTATTTAGTAATCCCCCTTCAGGGTCTAGGTCACTATTCTTCAATTAAATATGTTTGAGTACTTAACTCGTGTCAGTGTATATTTAAGTTTTTTTTAAAAACAGGTTTTATTTTGAATATTGAATAGTATCATTTTCTTCAGGCAGGGGTGGGGGAGGGTTATTAGGGCCTGGGTGCTGTTCCTGAACTCTTCTGCTCAAGGCTAGTGCTCTACCACTTTGAGCAATAGCACCACTTCCAGTTTTCTGGGTGATTTGTTGGAGATAAGCGTCTCATGGCCTTTCCTGCCTGGGCTGGCCTTGAACCGTGATCCGTAGATCTCAGCCTTCTGAGTAGGTAGGATTATAAGGGTGAGCCACTGACTCCGGGCCTAGAATTTTTTTTTTTCTTTTAGAAAGCATTCTTATGTTTAAAAATTTACCCAACTTGGCCTGCTATTAGTCTATAGACTACAGAGGTGCAAACTAAAGAACTTTGCTTTGATTCCCGTTTGCTTTAGTAGTTTTACAGTAGTATGCTTCAATGACTGAAGAGACCCATATAAAATGGTGGAACTGTGTTGTTCTTGAAATAATCTAGAAAGCAGTGCATTTTAGCCATTAGTTGAATATTTTATGATGGTCTGAGTTGTAGATAGTTTTTGCAAGTTATTATTTCATAGATTCTTAGTGTGAAATATTTCTTAGAAATGTTATTAGAGAATATTTTGCTATCTAATGCTTGCTGAAATAGAGAAAAATGTTTATTGTTTTAAACTAGTGCTCCCAGGGCTTTATCTCCTATTGTAAAACACCTTCTTTGCTGAGGAAAACAGGTATGGTTTTGTTGAGTTGCTTACTTGTGACAAGGTAAGACGTTTAATAATTCATCATAAAATCCACAAAGTGATGCTAAGAAGAGCACGGAGAGCTATAAACTCTAGATAAATTGCTCTCATTTCAGGGATTTCCAGTTAGTCTTAAGTTACAAGCATGAACAATTTCCCTATAGGCATATTCTGAATAAGTCTGGACAATGATAAGTACTTCATGCATCTTTTTTTTTTTTTTTGGTTAGAAATGCAATTAACAGTCTGCAGGGTTGCCAAGTTTACTCATGTCCTGAAATTTGGAAGTATGTGTAAAAGGTGATACTTAACTGCCAGAAATTACTTGCTGGAAAAGGTTGAAATGTAAAAAGAGAAAGATAACATCAATCAGAAAAATAAGTTGATTAAATCATTAAGGCAACTTGAAATACAATACAGAAAAGTTGGTTTTAAAAAATGTGGCTAGAATAGCAAAGGAAACTTTTTAAGGACAGAGGAGTGAGTAGTAAAGGAAAATGCTACATCTTATACAATAGAGTTAACTGATTTATTTGGTCATACTGTACTTTGTTAAACAAACTTTAGATGATGGGTTAAATTGTTAAAAAAATTGTAAAGGATGAACAAATTCAGCAGTTTCACTAGATACTATGTTGAAAATGAACTATACAACTTGTGGGTGGGGACAGGAGGGAAAAACCCCTGGAGAGAGTAGGGAAGGGATTGACATTATTCAAAAAGAAATATATTCTCTCTCTCTCTCTTTTTTTTTTTTTTTTACTTGGTTGTGGGGCTTGAACTCCGGGCCCTGGCACTGTCCCTGAGCCTATTTCTGCTCAAGGCTAGTGCTGTATCACTTGAGCCACAGCACCAATTCTAGTCTTTGAGTGGTTAGTTGAAGATTAGAGTCTCATGGACTTTTCTGCCCAGGCCGGCAGTTTAGGATAAGAACATTTAAATTAAGCTGTAATATTGGATGATTGGGGGCATCAGATAAACCTGGGTTTGAATTATAGCTCTGCCTTTTACTAGTTATAAGATTCTTGGACAAATCATTTGAACTCTGAGTCATTTTGCTCTCTAGTTGAAAAATAAAAGTAAAAAAGCCAACACATCAGAAAATTTTATTAGATTGAACAAGACTAAAATGATTATAAATGTGCCTATAATTTCTCACATTTAAAATGCATTGACACAGATAGGCTCTTTAAAATATTTTGTTAGCATATATTAAGCAAAATGTTTAATTATGACTTTTCCACATATAACATTCTTTGATGTGCAGGTATTTCTGTAGCTTGCTGAAATTGATTCTTTGGCTCAGAAGTGGTATAGCTGAATAATACAGAAGTTCAGGTTTTTTTGTTTGTTTTTTCTTTGCCTGTACTTGAGCTTGAACTCAGCCTGGATGCTATCCCTGAACATTTTGCTCAGTACTGTGCACTACCTACCACTTGAGCCACAGCTCCTCTTCTGGCTTTTTGGTGATTAATTGGAGATGTAATTCTGAGGAACTTTCCTACCTGAGCTGGCTTCCATCTATGAACCTCAGAGCTCCACCTTCTCATTACTAGAATTACAGGTGTGAGCCACATTAGCAACGGGCTTAGAAGTTCTATTTTAATTTTTCCCTTTTTTTTTTGAGGAGCCTCCATAGTGATGTCCATAGTGATTACACAAATCGAATTCTCTTCAGCAGTGAATAATGTGCCTGTTTCCTCTCAACTCCTTTACCAATATTTGTTATTTTTTGTTTCTTGATGATTGCCGTTCAGACTGGGGTAAGTGAAATCTTAGTGTAGTTCTGATCTTCATTTCCTTGATGGGGAAAGATGTCAAACATGTTTTCCATGTGTTTATTTACATTGGTACTCTTCATTTGAAAAGCATTTGTATAATTACATTGTCCCTTTATTGGGACATGGCTTATTTTGTCATTTGTTGTTAGTTTTTTGACTTGTTTATTTATTTGAGGTATTAACCTCCTGTCAGATGACTCTCTAGAAGACATTTTCTTCCATTGTCTAGATTGTCTCTTCATCCTTTTAATTGTTTCTTTAGCTGTACATAAGCTTTTTAATTTAATTCAGCCCTATATTTATCAATTCTTGCTATTATTTTCTGAGCCATTGAAGTCCTTCTTAGAAAGTCATTGCCTATTAGATGTAAATAAATTCCCCTTTGTTTTCCTATTGTAGTTTCAAAGATCTGGGTATGACATTAAGATCTTTGACCGATTTTGATTTGATTTTTGTTTCATTTTTGAACATGAACAAGCCTATATTAAAAAAAAAAACAGAACCATTTGTCAAGAGGCTGTCTTTTTCTAGTATATGTTTTTGGTACCTTTGTCAAGATTCAGGTGACTGTAGCTTCATGGGCTTATCTCTGGATTGGTGTATGCATTGCTTGGTGTGTGCATCTGTTGTGCCATTAGCTCTGTCTTAACAACAACACTATGGCTCTATAGTATAGTTTGAAGTCAGATATTGTGAGACCTCCAGCATTCCTCTTTCTAGTTGACCACTTAGGATCATTTATGTTTTCATATGAATTTTAGCATTGTTTTTTCTATTTCTGTAAAGAATATCATTGAAATTTTGGTGGAAATTGCATCAAACCTATAGAATTGTTTTTGATAACATAGCTGTTTTAGTGTTCTGTTAATCCACAATCATAGTTCCTTTTGTCTTTTCTTGTCTTCTACAAATTCTTCATTGTTCAATAGTTCCCAGTATAGAGGTCTATTAATATCTTTGGTTAAGTTTGTGCCTAGGGTTTTTTTGGTTTTTGATTTCATTTTCTAATTGAGGGTATTATGAATAGAATTTCTTCACTTCTTTTTCCCTTTCAGTAGATATGTTGTTGGCATATAACAAAAGCTATTGATTTTTGTATTCTGCTAAAAGTGTATTTGAGATCCAAGAATCTGATGGCATATTGAGGATCTTTTTTTTTTTGTTGTTGTTGTTGTTTATTTGTTTCCTCTTTAAAACCAATATAAGCCTGATCCCAACTCCACCTCCTCACACAATCTCTGATCCTGTAGGAGGATTATTTGCCCCTGGCTGCTGTATCTCAATAAACAGTCCTGGCCCAGTTGAAGATCAAGTCTGGCTTGTTTCTGTTCCTTTTCCCTCCATTTCCCTATCACTGAGTAGCTAGGATTATAGGTGTGAGCCACAGCTTTAGGCTGAAGTTTGTATTTTAATAGAAGGGTCTATTGTCTCTAGAAGGGTTGGGAGCTTTGGAATTGTGGGTGGCTCAGTAGACCAAGTGGGGTACTGGGAAAAGTTCTCTGTAGCTAAATCCCAGAATAACACCCCCACCCCCCAAGGCAGGTATGGCCTGGATTCTCTGCCCTCCTTCTGCCTCCAAGCTCAGAAATCATCCTCACAAAAGCAGGCGTCCCCAACATCACCCAAATTCTCCTCGACTGAGCTAATTTCATAATCTCATGCCAAAGGGCAGTGATTTCATTGGACTCAAGCCCCCAGAACTGTGATTCTCTCAGAGCCAACCTTAAAGGGTAATGGCCACTCAAGGAAGCACAGCCTAGGCTGCTCTGTTGGTTAAATCACACCACTATTAAAATGATAAAAGCCAGTGTTGACAGGGCCCTAGGAAACTCAGCACACTCGCACAGCTCTGCTCTCCATGTCCTTTCCACGCTCCCTTTGTCGGAATGGAGCCGCTCCTTTTGTCTGGGAATGGAGAGCCCATTCAGGCCCAGCAATCTAGAGGGCCATCGTGAAGCAGTCCTCATATTGAGGATCTTTTATGTGTAAGACTATACCATCTTCAAATAAGGGAAGAGGAGGAGAAAGAGAGGAAGATCAAGAGAGAGCAGGAGAGAAAGTGTGTGTGTATGTGAAAGAGAAGGAATGAGTGAATTAATAGTTCTTTCCAGGATAACTTGACAGTCACAAATAAAAGATTACACTTTATATATAACTGAAATAGTAACTGATTGAAAGAAACAGACTTTCTATAAAGAGGCTTTATATAAAATTAGTCATGGTAGTGTATCTGCAGTTGTAAAACCAAAAGTGGTGGTGTTAGATTACAACAATCTTTCATTGATAATTTTGTAAAAGAACCTTGTCTGTCTGTCTGTTTATCTATCTATCTGTCTATCTTTCTATGGTTCCATCACCTGATAACCATTATAATAGAAGTTTTTCTATGTCTGTCCACAACAGTAACAGCAGCTGTGCATCACTTAATGGTATTGAGACTTACTATTTGTGTCTGTTGTCTAGTGAAATGAATATATATCCTTACTCTACATTTCTAGTTACACATTTGAATGATTAACTGACTTTCCATGTTCATAACTTTAAAAACAAAGAATTAGATCATCTAGTCTATTAACACTTTCTAGTGCTCCAGTTAAAAATCCTTTTTCATAGCTAGGTGCTAGTGGCTAATGTATGATTTTTGGCCTTTTACTTGCTAGACAAGTGCTTTTCTACTGAGCCACATCACTAACCCCTCATGCCTGTGATTTTAGCTACTGAAGGGACTGAGATTCGGAGGATCAGTGTTTGAAGTCAGCCAGAGCAGAGACTTCATCTTCAAAATAATCAGCAAAAAAAGTAAGACTCAAAGTGTGGTTCAAATGGTAAAACATGAGCCTACCAAGCAGGCCAGTAACCAGAGGCCTTCAGTTCAAAACCCTAGAGCCTTTCCTAGTTGTATTCAGTTATTTCTATAATGAGCAGTATTTTTTCTGTATTCTTTGCCTCTCTTAAATTCTTCCATTTTTTTCTATTTCAATTTATTTTTGATAAATGGGGTTATTTAATTCCTGTAAAATGCTTGAATGGCAGTTCTATGTAAACATTAACAATTCATTTTGCAAAAAATGACTAAAATGTATTTAACAAAATATTTTAGAATTCAATAAATGCATAGGTTTATAGGTTTATTTACTCAGTTCCCAAATGTGCATATACATCTAAAGGTTACTGCTTTCAGTAGATTTTACATTTTAGTTTAGCTCTGTATATTTCCAGACATAGTATGTTTTTAGTCAAATACTTTTTATTGCATAAACATGGTTGTTCGTTCATACTTTGTATAGAAACATTGGATTTTTTTTTTTTTTTTTTTTTGGGTCCGATCGTGGGGCCTGAACTCTGGGCCTGGGCGCTGTCCCTCAGCGCTTCAGCTCAAGGCTAGCGCTCTATCACTTGAGCCACAGCACCACTTCTGGCTTTTTTTCTTTTTGCTTATGTGGTGCTGAGGAATTGAACCCAGGGCCTCAGGCATGCAAGGCAAGCACTCTTCCACTGAGCCACCTTCCCAGCCCGAAACGCTGGATTTTTTTAGCTTAATGTTTCTCTTACTTGGTTATTTCCTCAGGTCTAAAAATAGTAATACTACTGCTTCATGATAAAGGTTTACATTCCTTCCACTAAATAGTATTTTCAAGGAAAGTGTTCTCTCTCTTTTCATATTAAGTTTTTTTTCCTTTAAATCATTAGAATAAAGTATTCTGTTTGCTCTTTTTCCTATAGAACTTTTTTAAAACTGCTGAAATAAGTGTTATGCATATTGTTTTGCCTATCTGGTTCTTACATTTTTTAAGTTATTGGTTATAACTGATTATTGATTATAAAAAATAATTTAATGTCCATTGTGAGGAAAAAATGTATTGCTATTTCACACATTGCTTCTCAGTGTTAAAGCCTTTTTGTGTTTTGTAGGTGATGCTTGCAGGCAGAAAAAGTGAACTGTCAAGGAATTCAGTTCTCTGAGTACTTATTACTTGGACTACGTGAGGAGTTCTTGGTTTAGTGGATCAGCTGGCAACAGAAAATGAAAAGCAGTGTAGCACATATAAAGGTAAGTGTTTAAAATTATGACAGAAGATGTAGGCTAATAAGTGACAATGCATTTATATAATTAGAATATTAGAATCAGCCAATAAGATGGCATCATACCTCTTAGTAACACCATTAAATTTTAAGGTAGATACTTGGGCAGATGGGAATGAACATGTCCAAAGGAGCATGAGAGAGGATGTGTATGTTCTGTATGTGTGTACACATACATGCCCACATCAATACCTACCTAAATCATGTGAATGAGCAAATGCAAAAGAAAGTAAATTAGAAATGGTATAGGAAATTCCATGATCATTCTCTAGGAGTTTGTTTCCTAACTATGACTTGGAAGGCAGATGTTTCCTTCCTTTGGCTAGTCTGGGTTCCTGCATGTCTGTTCATTTTATGAACTTGTTGCTCCATATTTCAGATGCACATATTGGCACTATACTATGCTGTACGTGATAGACATTTATGTATTCAACACACACATATGCAATTCTTAAATGTATTGTAATGACTTTTCTGTGCACTTTGAACCACAAAAATCCTTATTCTGATGGAATTTACCTATTAGAATGAGGAAACAAAAAAATCATAAATTTGATACATAAGTAATATATGTTAGTGTTCAGTGCTAGATTAGCTATAGTAAAAGTAATATGATCAATAACACTGATGGAGTACAGTTTATAGTAGGGAGGTGAGTGTTGGGCTTTTGGAAAGGAAGTGAGCCATTTGAGCAGAGACTGATACTAGTCAAGAGAGCTAACAGATATGTAGGGAAGAGTGCCTGGGAGTATGAACAGAGAAGCTACTGTGATTTCTAGGCGTGATGTCAGAAGAGTACCGGGAAACCAGAACTGTACTCACTTTTTCAAAACTGTTCTGCTTGTACATCTCATTGTTGCAGTGGGTCCACCTCTATCCCTATTTAAACAATTTGTTTTTTCTCTTCCCCTCCACAAATTGTACCAACTTCAAATACAGTGAAAAAATGGGTTATACCGTGGGGGAGAGACATACAAAGCAACAAAGAAATAGTCTTATAAATATGTTAGAAACAATCGTAAGAAAGAAAAAACATTTGAATCCTTATCTTAGGGTTCATTTCGCCTAACAACAACTTATCTGACCATTTCTGCTTGTCTCAGACATATACTAGTTATTGCAAACAAAGGAAACCATGGGACCTATGTTTCTTTGGGCCTGACTTACTTCAGTTAATATAATTTTTTCCAAGTCTTTCCATTTCCTAACAAATGGGGCAATGTCATTCTTTCTGTTGGAGGCACAGAATTCCATTGTTTTATATACCACATTTTCTTGATCTATTCATCTACTGAGGGGCATCTGGATTGGTTCCACATCTTAACTATGGTAAATAATGCTGCAATAAACATAGTTGTGCTGGTAGCTTTAGTATGGTCTTGTTTGTGATCATTTGGGTAAATGCCCAAAAGTGGGATTGCTGGGTCATAGGGGCTCTATGTGGAGTCTTTTGAGGAACCTCCGTACTGCTTTCCAGAGTGGTTGAACAAGTTTACACTCCCACCAACAATGCAGTAAGGTTCCCATCTGGCCACATCCCCTCCAGCATCTGTTATTATTAGAGTTCTTGATTATAGCCATTCTAACTGGGGTGAAGTGGAATCTCAATGCTTTTGATTTGCATTTCTTTTATGGCTAGGGAGGTTGAGCATTTCTTCATGTGTCTATTGGCCATCCTTCTTTCCTCTTCAGAGAAGTTTCTCTTTAAGTTGTTAGCCCACTTATTTATTGGGCAGGTGTTTTTTTGAGGATTTGTTGTTGGGGAATTTAATTTTTGAGTTCCATGTATATTTTAGATATGAGACCCTTGTCCGTTGTATGGCTAGTGAAGATCTTCTCGCAATCTGTGGGCTTTCTGTTGATCTTGGTAGCTATGTCCTTTGCCATGCAGAAGCTCTGCAATTTCATGCAATCCCATTTGTCCGACCTTGGATTTGTTGTGTTTCTGGGTCTCTTTTTAGAAAATTTCGACCTGTGCCAGGGAGACCTAGGGTTTCTCCTATTCCATCCTGTAATGTTTGCAGAGTGTCTGCTTTGACTTCGAGGTCTTTGGTCCATTTAGAGTTGATTCTGGTGTAGGGTGATATATAAGGATCTAGCTTTAGTTTTCTACAAGTGATTAACCAATTTTGCCAGCACCATTTACTGAAGAGTCTGTCTTTCTTCCATTCTACTTTTTTAGCTCCCTTATTTGAAGATTAGATGGCTATAGGTCTGTGGGTTCATTTCTGGGTTTTCAATTCTATTCCATTGGTCCTGAGGTCTGTTCTTGTGCCCGTACCAAACTGTTTTGATTCCAATGGCTTTGTAGTAGAGTTTGAAATTTGGTATTGATATTCCTCCAGCACTGTTCTTTCTGTTAAGGATCATTTTTGCTATTCTGGGTCTTTTATTGTTCCATATGAATTCTTGGATTGCCTCTTCTATTTCCTTGAAGAATGAGGCTGGAATATTGATAGGTATCGCATTGAATTTGTAGATAGCCTTGGGAAGTATTGCCATTTTCATGATGTTGATGTTTCCAATCCAGGAGCATGGAAGGGTTTTCTACTTTCTAAGTTCTGTTTTGATTTCCTTTTTCAGGTTTTTAAAGTTTTCATCATAGAGGTCCTTCATTTCTTTGGTTAAGTTAATTCCTAGGTATTTTATTTTTTGTGGGGCTATTACAAATGGAGTTGCTTTCCTGATTTCAGCCACACTTTTCTCATTGTTGGCATACAGAAAAGCCATTGGTTTTTGAGGGTAAATTTTATACCCTGCTACTTTGCCAAAGTTTTGAATCAGCTTAAGTAATTTGGGAGTGGAGTCTGTGGGATTCTTTAAATACAAGATCATGTCATCTGCGAAGAGGAAGAGTTTTACTTCATCTTTCCCTATTTGGATCCTCTTTATGTTTGCATTTTGTCTTATTGCTGTAGCTAGGCATTTGCATACTAAATTGAAGAGAAGTGGAGAGAGTGGACATCCTTGTCTTGTTCCTGAGTTAGGAGGAAATGGCTTTAGATTTTTACCATTAAGTATAATGCTGGCTGTAGATTTGTCATATACAGCCTTTATTGTATTGAGGAATGTTCCCTGGTCCAGAACCTTCATCATAAATGCTTTAATTCTTTTTTTTTTTTTTTGGGTCCAGTCATAGGGCCTGAACTGTGGGCCTGGGCGCTGTCCCTCAGCTCTTCAGCTCAAGGCTAACGCTCTACCGCTTGAGCCACAGCGCCACTTCCAGCTTTTTTCTTTTTGCTTATGTGGTGCTGAGGAATCGAACCCAGGGCCTCAGGCATTCAAGGCAAGCACTCTACCACTGAGCCACCTTCCCAGCCCTAAATGTTTAATTCTTATCATCTAACATAGTACCACTTATATCAGATGGTCAAATAATATTTGTTGAAAATAAGCATGGATTTTGATAAATATATTTGTTAGCTTCTTCTAGCTGTTCATTTTATCCAGATTTAGTTATTCATACTAAGTGTGTGTTTGTTAAGCCAAAGGAAGTACAAGGTAAGTGCTGTGTTGTAAGAATTGAACAAACATGATCTTTCTAGAAAGCCTCTAAAATTAGTTATCTTTTTTCACCATGAGGAGCTATTTATGTAAATGCTGTTGTATGAATTTATAATTTAGCTCATAGGAATAAAATCTTGAGTAAGTAGAATAAAAAATTTGAGCACTATTCTTTCCTACCTTTTTTTTCCCCACAAAAATAAAAATAGTTGGTCTAGCCAGGTGATAGTGATCCTAACTGCTCTGAAGACTGAGATCTGAAGATCACAGTTCAAAGCTAACCCAGACAGAAAAGTCCTTGATACTTTTTTTTTTTTGGTCCGTCGTGGGGCTTGAACTCCGGGCCTGGGCACTGTCTCTCAGCTCTTCAGCTTAAGGCTAGTGCTCTACCACTTGAGCCACAGCACCAGTTCTGGTTTTCTGAGTGGTTAATTGTAGAAGTCTCACGAACTTTCCTGCCTGGGCTGGCTTTGAACCGTAATCCTCTGATCTCAGCCTCCAGAGTAGCTGGGATTACAGGCGTGAGCCACTGGTGCCCGGCATTACAAATTTTTTTTTTGCCGGTCTTGGGGCTTGGGCACTGTCCCTGAGCTTCATTTGCTCAAGGCTAGCACTCTACCACTTGAGCCCCAGCGTGACTTTCAGCTTTTTCTGTTTATATGGTACTGAGGAATTGAACCCAGGGCTTCATGCATTCTAGGCAACCACTCTACCACTAAGCCATATTGCCTCCTCTTTCCCCCACCCCATACTCTTATCTCCAGTTAACTACTAAAAGGCAAGGAATGGAGCTGTGGCTCAAGTGGTAGAGCACTAGCCTTGGATACAATAGCTCAGGAACAGCACCTAGGGCCTGCATTTAAGCCCCTAGACTGGCACACACACACACCCCACATAAAATATAGGTCTACAATGAAAACAAGTATGGATTGTAGACATTTATCTGCAATGGCCCCCAGTGGGGCCAGTGGTAGAGCGCTCAGTGGTAGAGCGCTTGCCTTGCATGCCTGAGGCCCTGGGTTCGATTCCTTAGCACCACATAAGCAAAAAGAAAAAAGCCGGAAGTGGCACTGTTGCTCAAATGGTAGGCCTATGTAAGATGAATTATTTCTGTCAGGTAAAACAAGATTTGAAATAATTCCTGAACTACTTCCAATTTTCTGAGGCACAGATATCATTGTTTTTGTTGTGTGTTTTTTTTGCATAAATAATTTTCGAAATATTCCTTTCTTTCTCCATGACAGCATTCTTCTGGTCATGACAGAAGGGAAAGCTGTGATTCATATCAGAGGAGTTCCTCTCCGGAAGACAGGTAAGTAATTTTATGTAATGAGTACTACTAAAGCTTGTACAATGTGTTTAAGCAAGAATTTATCTCTTTGGCTATTAATGTATGTTTAGATGTTGAACTACTAGTTTTACTAGTTCCTACAATCATACATGTTCACATAACTCTTTATAGTGTACAGTATTTCTGTATATCATTGTAACTATGTTAAGGTCAACAGTCTGGAAATGGTCCCATTGTACAGCAGCATTTATTTTAGGACTGCAGTTATTTTATTTAGTTGTAACCATTAAAAATAATCTTGTTGTGAAAAGCATATGTCTACCAGAGGATTTGCTTTAAGAACATCTAATTACTTGCCCTGGTTTATGACTACTTATTACTTTCACCAAGCATCTACTTTTTCTTTATTTCCTCCCCTCCCTTCCCTTCTCTTCTGCTCCCCTCCCCTCTTCTCCCCTTCTCTTCCATTCTCTTTCTTTCCCCAAAATATCTCCCTTCAACACAAATAGGTACGTATGGATGTATGAGTTAATTGTATGTGAAATATGGATTGTGTTACTATTATTCAATATTACGAATTTATTTTATGTCTCTTTAAGTTATCTGATTGTATTTACTTAAGATTCAAGTAAAATATCTATGATACTATCTATCCTTATGTGCTAGTAATTTCAGTCCATTTTGTCTGTTATCCAATGACACATTTTCTGGGAGACTCAACTCCAATTAACTGCAAGAAAGCTAGAACTGGAGGCTTGGCTAAAGTAGTAGAGCAATAGTCGTGAGTGGAAAAGTCAAGCAAGGGTGTGAGGCCCTGTGTTTAAGGACCAGTAGTGTCCCCCAACCCCCCAAAAAGGAAAAAATAGCAAATGAATATATCCTCTTGGAGTACAGTTGGTATTTACAGAGACAAAGGACAGTCTCGTTTGTTCAGTGTTTTGATAAATGAGCTATCTAAGCAAAAGTAGTTATGTATAGGATAGCCGTTTTTCCTGCTAATTATATATTGTCTCCTTATTTATTTGTCCCACTAAGGATATGATTGATAAATGAGCTATCTAAGCAAAAGTAGTTATGTATAGGATAGCCGTTTTTCCTGCTAATTATATATTGTCTCCTTATTTATTTGTCCCACTAAGGATAATATGAATCACTATGAACAAGTTTGGTTAAGTGAATTCCAGGAGTTGCTTTGATGTGTGCAACAGGAAAATTTTATAATCCAGAATGAATAAAGGGGTATTCACAAAATGAACTGTTTGCTACAAAAAATTTAAGGTGTTATTGAGTTATAGAGTTCTTTTAGAATTACCAATATGATTTCCTTAAATATTTAAAATATAGTTGTTTTCAATATTCAACTTTCTTTTCTTATTTTATGCTAGATATGCAGAAAAAGAAAGGTCCTCCCGGGAGAGAGATTACTTTGATTACAGCAGGTCTGACTACAGTAGGTCAGACTATGATCGTTCAAGAAGAGGACATTCTTACGATGGCAGTATGGAATCAAGGTGAATCTGTAGAAAGGCTGTATCAACTGTAGAAAGGCTGCATTCATTTAATTTTTTTTTCTCTCCTTCCTTTTTTTATGATGGTTTTGGGTTTGAGCTCAGGGCCTGGGCACTGTCCCTTAGCATTTTTGCTCAAGGCTAGCACTCTACCACTTAAGCCACAGTTTCACTTCAGGCTTTTTGGTGGCTAAATGGAGAGAGGAGTCTCATGGACTCTCCTGTCAGGTTAACTTTGTACCATGATCCTCAGATTGATTAGATCTCAGCCTTCTCAGTAGTTAGTATTACAGGCATGAGCCACTAATGCCTGGCTAAAGTTTCTTCTTCTTCTTCTTCTTCCTTCTTTCTTCTTTCTTCTTCTTCTTCTTTTTGTGTCAGTTGTGGGGCTTGAACTCTGGGCTTGAGCGCTGTCCCTGCACTCTTCAGCTCAAGGCGAGCACTCTACCGGTTGAACCACAGCACCACTTCCAGTTTTCTAGTGGTTTATTGGAAATAAGAGTGTCACGGACTTTTCTGCCTGCACTGGCTTTGAACTGCTATCCTCAGATCTCAGCTTCCTGAGTAGCTAGGATTATAGGCGTGAGCCACTGGTGCCTGGCTAATTTTCTTCATTTTTTATAACAAAACATCAAGAATAGCAGCTAGCATTAATTGGATATTGTTGGTACCAAACTTTTTAGTAAAGACTACATGTGAATTAATTGCTTATTGAAGTAAATAGGAGAAACAGATATTACATCAGTTTTACAGCTACAGAAAGTGAGGCTTACAAACGTTCAGTAACTTATTTGTATTTTTGAATTATCAGTGGAAAAATCCAAGTCTGTATGATCTAAAGCTCAGGCTTTTAGTCATTATATTGTATTGCAAGAGAGACTGATTTATGAGACATGTTTTTGAGATTGTTTGCTTAAAGAAATGGATGCTCTATATAGGCAGAGGAATTTAACTGGAGTTCTATTAGAGATAGAAATATGCTCAACTGCTTAACACAGTAATTGCTTACATAGCTAGTTCTCTGTTTACTTGCATGTAGAACAAATAAATAGGCATAGAGAAATAAGTAATGTAGACTATGAACTCACTTGAAATTGACTTTAGAATGCCCATATTTTAACCCTTTTAATGAGTCAGTTACATATTAGAAGGAGTATGGATTTTGTATTTATATAGATGATAGTTCATATCTTATTAAAAAATACTCTATCAGCTTCCTGCTGAACTGCAATTTACTTATCTGTGAAATTTGTGTGATAATGAGTGTCTTTGATGCTTCAAGTTTAAGATAATATCTGTTTTCTATTACCATGTCTGAACATAATAAATATTCGGAAATGGTAGCTTTTAAATATATTAATTTCAAAATATCTATTTAATAATATATAGTGATTCAGTGGCCCTTTGAATAGCATATAGAAAGCAGTAGAAGAATTCAGATTTCCTAATATAGAGAGTGGTTCACTTTGAATATAATTAATCTGACAAAATTAATAAATTCTATTTTAATATTTTTATTGTGAAAATAACTATTTTAATATTTTATAAAAGAACTGTCATCTGTCTCTCATGTTCTGTTTCTTTCCAATAACTATTGTCTTTTTTTTGCATCATCTATGCATTCATCTTGATCATCATTTTCATAAAGTCAGCTCTCTGCATGTTCCTGTTTATCTTTTTACCCTTGTCTCCTATATGTTATTGCTCAATAAGGTCCTTTTTATAACCACCAGGACCAGTCCCCTCATTATAACTGTTGGATTAAATCTGCCATCTACATGAGTAGATGTTAAGTTTTCTTCTTAGTAATTCTATTCATTCCAGTATATACTCCTCTTCTTCCTTCTTTCCTTTCTTCTTTCTTTCTATTTTTGCAGGGCCTGGGACTTGAACTTAGGGTTTGGGCATTGTCCCTGAGCTGCTTTTACTCAAAGCTAGCACCCTGCCACTTAAGCCAGAGCTTCACTTCTGGATTTGGGGGGGGGGGCAGTTAATTAGAGATAAGAATCTCATGGAGTTCCCTGCCTGGGTTGGCTTTGAACTGCGATCCCCAGATCTCAGCCTCCTTAGTAGGTAGGATTATAGGCATGAGCCACCAGCACCCATGTTTTTTATATATATATATATATATATATATATACACTCATTCTTAAAATGTCAGGTTAAATAGTCACAAAAAGCCAAATTCATCAGCATTTATCTTAATGACACCTTAAGAAAAACTACTACCACTAAAAGATAAGCTAAACATTTTGTATACTTTTTAGTATTGTCAAAATTCATTTTCCTAATTTGAAGTTAGGAAGTATGTTTGATATGAGTAATACACATGAGGTTGACATTACCCATCTTACAGATACTGATACTAGGATTTCATCTCCATTTGGATATAAAAGTGTATGGTCATTTTGTTTTTGTTTTGTTTTGTTATTTTGCAATCCCTGACTATACTGTAAAGTGTTATTCAGTGTATTTGGTCCAGCATAGGAACATAATGAACTTGGGACAAACAGTCACACTGAAGCAAACAGTGTATGTATTCTGTAGAATATAAAGGCTAAATTTGAAGAAAACAAATGTTTTATTTAGACTTTAAGAATAGTTTTTGTACAAAAGAACAAATAGGATTCTTTGCATTAGTATACATTAGTTGTACAGGGGGATTTAATTGTGGTATTTCCACTCGTGTAAAATGTATCCTGATTAACGTCATCCCATTACTCTCCTTATTGCAGTTTCCCTTCTTAAAATAATTCAAAAGGTTTCATTGTTCTATTTTCAGACATGTGACTATATTCATCTTCAGCCAGCTTCTTCATTAGACTTCCCTACTCCTCCTGATATCCCCCTGTTCAGCCTGTTCCAACATGATCATTTGTAGGATATGATTTTTATCATCCAACTAGCTTTATTTCACCTGGTTTTCAGAATATAAGCAGTGTTAGCTACTTCCCCTTTGTAGTTGCTTTATTAAAACATGCTACATTCATAGCAAATAAGTGGGTAGAATTTGAAGCATCTGCCTTTATGACTTAAGTGTGGATTATTTTAGTCAATTTTTCTCCTGTTTCCTAATATGCACAGTCAGTACTCATTGGCAGTCACTCATGTCCTTATATTTCAGCATCTAAACTGTTCTTCCACAGCTGCTTGGGTGGGCAACTGCTTTCTCTCTTTCTAAGGAGAATTTTAAAACTTATCTTCTTGAATATACCCATTAGAGTTTACCAAAGTCTGCACAATTTTATAGTGATGTAGTAATATGGAAGTTGTTTATTACATTTATATAATTCATTTTTGTACAAAGCATGAGCAGAATGATCTTACTTTCCAAAACAGTAAGTAAAGAAATGTCTAAGTGAGCAAACTGTTTACTAGGAAAAGGTAACAAAACATACTTAATGGACTCACTGAATAATATTCTTCTGTTTGAAAAGGGTTAAGAAAGGATAAGCATTTATATTAGATGAAAGAGTAATTGTTGTCAAAGTTTTTTTTCACATTGTCTCAGTTAACTATTATTGTCTGAATTTCTAATAAAAGATTAATCCTCTCAAGAAACTGTTTTTTTTTTTTTTGCTAATCTCTGTATTGCTCAATTTTAGTATGTGTGCTGTCAAAGTGAGCACTAAATACTTTTTTTATAGTAATCTTCTACCTATATTTGCTATTTTTGGAAGTAAACTCAGGTTTCTTATTTATACAGTTTACCTTCTTAAAATGCTGTTTTCATGTCACTGTCCTTCATGTCACTTTTAGATTCTCCATCATTTCCAGTATACAAAAGTTAAAAAATCCCGGACATTTAAAATATCAGTCTTCACTCAAACTCATCTTCTAGCTATTATCATGCATGAATTCTTACTGTTTCCTGATTGTTATACTCTTCTGGCTTTAATGCCCAGGCCATTTTTTTCATTTGTTGTTCTCCTATAAATTGCAGAATGCCATCTTCCCTCTCGGTATTTTTTCCCAGCTTGCTTCCAAGCTAAACCTTGAGCAATCTTTGAGCCCTGGTATGAGTCATCTTTTCTTTGTGAAGTTCTATCTCACCTTCCTAAACTACTTTGCATGGTCTAAGTTTATGGGCCCACTTATGTTTACTCAGTTGGTATGTAGTTCCTTCTATGAATGATTTTATGATGTGTTTTCTCCTTCTAAAAACTATTAATATTACAGAAGCAGGGACCGAGAAAAACGCAGAGAAAGAGAAAGAGATACAGATCGAAAAAGGTCCCGGAAATCCCCATCTCCTGGAAGAAGAAGCCCACCACCTTCAGTAACCCAGAGTTCTGCTCAGGATGAACCTACTTCAAAGAAGAAAAAAGATGATCTGGATCCTCTCCTTACTCGAACTGGTGGAGCATATATTCCTCCTGCAAAGCTTAGGATGATGCAAGAACAGATTACAGACAAAAACAGGCATGTTAATATGCTAGCTTATAAAGCAGTGATTTCCTCATTGAATGATAAGTCAAATGAGGCCTAATTAGCTTTAACTGTTGAGAATACACATTAGTCAACCATGACATGAGATTACAAAATTGCTTTTCTTTTTTTTGCTCTATAAGCACTGAGTGCTGTGTACTACTTGCCCATCTTTTTTTTATTTTGTGAATGAATTTAGAAGTTTGAGGAAAAGATTCCTTATTTTACTATTTTAGCATTTCAGACTATTAGTAGCTTATATGTTTTGTAGAAGACTAAGAGATGATATTGATAGTTTAGATATAAAATGAATCTTTCTACTTGTACTAAGCAAGGATTCAGCAGATTTTTTCTGTCAAAATTAAATTGTATTTAGTTTAGGGTGTGGGTCATTCTGTCTCTGTTGTAGCTATTTAACTTCAAAAATGTACTATGAAAGAACAGTTGTAGATAATATATGCAAATAACTGGGTATGTAGGATTCTAAAAAATGCCTTATTTACAGTAGGTGCATTTGGATAGATTGGGGATGGTTTCTGTTTATTAGTGAGTGTTTCATAGTCATTAGTTATATGTGATCATTTATACATGATAGTATGTATAGGTTGCAAACTCTTGTGTGAATATAAAAGGAAATTGGCAGTTCTTTTTTTTTTCTTTTCTTTACCTGAATTGAGGAACCTTTTATTTTGCCTGTTTTTGCAAGGGCCATTGAGATATTCTTACATTATTTGAGGGCTGCATAGAGGTATCAGTCATAGATACCCAAGGGCAGCTCATGAGAAGCTTATATGTGGTTCCAGGTATGTGTTAAATGATTTTCAGGCTTTATATGACCCATGGACCAGATGTTCCTCACCTCTGTGTCTGGACTGCAGTAGCAAAGACTATTTTTTCCCTAGTCAAGCAAAATTGATAAATGAGTTTCCATATTTTCAACATATTTTGAAGGGTAAGAAGCTATTTATGAAAGAAAGTGCTAAAAAGAGAAAAGGTTTTGAAACATTGAAGAGGTTCTCCAGTACAATGCGATGCTAAGTAGAAAAAGTGTGATCCTAATTGAATGGTAACTTAATTGCCAGGAAGTTTTCTTCAAATGTAGTTATTTAAAGAAAAAACAAATAAGCCAGGAAGGAGGAATATTTGCACATCTTTTAATGGTTGTGTTGGTTTTGGAGGTAGAATTCACACATTAGCCTTGATTTAATTAGCCATGGCTTTAATTATAGCTTCTTGATATTGCAAGTGTTGACAAAATTTTAATCTTTGTAAAAAAAAAAATTGATTTCTTTTTAGCTTAGCATACCAGAGAATGAGCTGGGAAGCGCTGAAGAAGTCTATCAATGGTCTTATCAACAAAGTCAACATTTCCAATATAAGTATTATTATTCAAGAGCTTCTTCAAGAAAATATAGTTAGAGGAAGGTAAGTGCCATTTTATATGTAGTATTTTATAGTATGTTTTTATGTGTGGACAATAGTCATTAATTTATTATGCTTCCTGACTTTAAATGTAATTGATAATTTTATTCAAAATGTAGTTCTATGAAAATGTAGGTTACTAACAAATAACTTGATCCTGGGCGGGGGCAGTAAGGGAGGGGAGAAAACTGGGAGAAAATGAGGGAGGGGGCAACACTGTTCAAAAAGAACTATACTCATCACTTATGTAACTGTAACCTATGGAGTTCTTATATCTTGAGAAGTGATATTACATAATGATTTTTTTTGGTGGGTTGCAGGGCTTGAACTCAGGGCCTATGGCACTGCTTTTTTTTTTTTGCAATGCTCTACCACTTTGAGCCACAGCTCCACACAGTACATAATGATTTTTGCACATTTGTTTTCATTGACTGTCTCTCCAATATTTTAAATCCATGAGGAATATTGAATGTTAAAACATGCCATGTCACACCAATATTATTTTTGTAATTATTTCAGTTAGCAAGTTAAAATGGCATATATTTATGATGAACATGTTTTAATGAATAACATTGTTCAGCATATGTATTTACCTTAATAGTTTTTCTTTGTGGTAAAAATATAGTCACCTGATGTATAGTAGATTTCTTGAACTTACTCTTGTCTAAACAGAATTTTGTGTCTTTTGACCAATGCATCATTTACCCTTACTGCCTCTGATAACTACCATTTTATTCTGTTTCTATGAGTTCAACTTTCTTAGACTACATACAATGAGGTAATAGGATGTTTGTCTTTCTGTATCTAACTTATTTCTTAGCATAATGTCTTTCACATATATCTACATTATTAAATTTATTCTTAAGGCTTTTTTGGTAACTATTGTAAATGGGATTATTTTCTTGGTTTCTTTTTCACTAGCGTATGGGAATGCTCCCAATTGTTTAAGTATTGTTTTATATCAGCCTTCATCAGCTTTGTCTTTTTTTTTTTTTTGGTGGAGTCTGTAGGATCTTTATATAAGATTATGAGTATAGAGACACTATAACTTCTTCAAATTCTGTCTTCCATTTGTTTCTTTTGCCAGTTTTTTTGGCTGAGATGTCTAAGAGTGTGTTGAATTGAAGTCAGTGAAAGTAGTCATCCTTGTCTTGGTCCTGATAGGAAAGGAAAAGCTTTTAGCTTTTTACTATTGAGAGTATAATGTTTGCTAGGCTTTACAGTATGGCCATTTTAATGAAAGTAAGGTTAGCATGAGAGAATAGGAAATGTGATGAGTAAAATTTAGGAGAGCAGAAGAGAATGACTTTGTTTTTATTATTATTATTATTTTTTGGTAGTACTAGGGTTTGAACTCATAGCTTTACTTGTCAGGCCAGAACTCTCATCATTTTGAGCCATGCATCCAGCCTTTTTTCAGATAAGGTACTTTTGAAAACAAATTGTAATAATAGCTCATTCTAATTTTGTTCATTTGATTTCTGAGACAGTCTCCTCGTGTAGCCCTGGTTGGACTTGAACTCAAGGTCCTCCTGAGTCTCCTTGAGTGCTGTGATTACAGGTGTAATCTTGCCCAGTGTATTCATTTTCTATTCCTTTTTCTTTCTTTCTTTTTTCCTTTTGTGCTGATATATTTTGATCCTCTTGCTCTTGCTTAGCTGTTTTGCTCAAAGCTGGTACTCTGCCACTTGAACCATGCCTCCTCTTCTAGCTTTTTGTGGGTTAATTAGTGGTAAGAATCTAACCTGGCTTGCTTCTAACTGCACTTCTCTAAAATTAGCCTACCAAGTAGCTAGGATTACAGATATAAAACACCAGTACCCAGTATTGTTATTCTATTCTTAAAATAACACATATTCAAGTTTTGTTTCCTCATGAAGCTTTCTTTTTTCTTTTTCATATATGTAATTAATAAGACTCTCTTCCTAAAATAAGATGATAAAAATTAATTCTAATTTGTCTTTTATGATAATATGTTTATTTTATTTTGTTGAGACAAGATTGCACTGCATAGTCTAAGTAGATGTCAAAATTTTTTTGGTGATGGGGTTTGAACTTAGAGCCTTGAGCTTTTTAGGCAGGTGCTTTACCACTTGAGCTACATTTCTGTTTTTTTTTGGTCTTGGGACTTGAACTCTGGTCTAGAGCACTGTCCCTCAGCTCTTCAGCGCAAGGCTAGCACTACACCACTTGAGCTACAGCGCCATTTCCAGATTTCTCGCTGGGGCCAGGGGTGGGAGGGGGTGGGGAGGTAGTTTATTTGAGATGAGTCTCACAGACTTTCCTGCCTGGGCTGGCTTTGAACCGTGATCCTCAGATCTCAGTCTCCTGAGTAGCTAGGGTTACAGACATGAGCCACCAGTGCCCGGCTCACTTTAGCTACATTTCTAGCTTAGTTTTCTGAGTATTTACAAAGAAATAATATTCCTGGTTTTTAAATATTTTTTTTTTTTTTAATTTAATTTAATTTTATTTGTGAACATACTGTACAGAGGGGTTACAATTACATGGGCAGGATAATGCATACATTTCTTACCAAGCATTGCAGCCTCCTCCTTTGGTTTACCCTTCACATCCCTTCCCAGCCTCCCCCCTCCCCCCCAATCCCAATCCTTCTGCTCCCTCCCCCCCCCCCCCCCAACGTTGTAAAGCTCGTTTTGGACATGACAACTTGTATACTTCTCATTGTTGCAACAGGTCCACCTGTATCCTTAAACAACTGGTTTTTCCCCATCTCCTCCACAAGTTATACTGACATCAAATATAGTGAAAGCAGGGGTTATACTGTGGGGGAGGGACATACAAAGCAACAAAGAAATAATCTTAGAAATGCGTTAGAAACACATGCATGAAAGAAAAAAACATACATATCTAAGGGTTCATTTTCCTGACATCACATTATCTGACCTTTTCCGCTTGACTCATACATATACTAGATATTGCAAATAAGGGAAACCGTGGGACCTACGTTTCTTTGGGCCTGGCTTACTTCACTTAATATAATTTTTTCCAAGCCTTTCCCTTTCCTAACAAACGGGGAAATGTCATTCTTTCTGATGGAGGCATAGAATTCCATTGTGTATATATACCACATTTTCTTGATCCATTCATCTACTGTGGGGCATCTGGGTTGGTTCCATATCTTAGCTATGGTAAATAATGCTGCAATAAACATTGTTGTGCTGGTAGCTTTAGTGTGGTCTTGTTTGCAAACATTTGGGTAAATGCCCAAAAGTGGGATTGCTGGGTCATAGGGGAGCTCTATGTGAAGTCTTTTGAGGAACCTCCATACTGTTTTCTAAAGTGGTTGAACAAGTTTACATTCCCACCAACAATGAAGTAAGGTTCCTTTCTGTCCACATCCCCTCCAGCATCTGTTGTTGTTAGAGTTCTTGATTTTTGCCGTTCTAACTGGGGTGAGGTGATATCTTAATGTTGTTTTGATTTGCATTTCTTTTATGGCTAGGGATGTTGAACATTTCTTCATGTGTCTATTGGCCATCCTTCTTTCTTCTTCAGAGAAGTTTCTCTTTAGGTCTTTCGCCCACTTATTTATTGGGCAGTTGTTTCTTTGAGGATTTGTTGTTGGGTGGTTTAATTTTTTGAGTTCCAAGTATATTTTAGATATGAGACCCTTGTCCGTTGTATGGCTAGTAAAGATCTTCTCCCAATCCATGGGCTTTCTATTGACCTTGCTAGCTATGTCATTTGCCCTGCAGAAGCTCTGCAACTTTATGCAATCCCATTTGTCCAACCTTCCTTTGTTTGTTGTGTTTCCGGGTCTCTATTCAAAAAATTTCGGCCTGAGCCAAGGAGACCTAGGGTTTCTCCTATTCCATCCTGTAATGTTTTCAGAGTGTCTGCTTTGAGTTCAAGGTCTTTGATCCATTTGGAGTTGATTCTGGTGCAGGGTGATATATAAGGATCTAGCTTAAGTTTTCTACATGTAGTTAACCAATTTTGCCAGCACCATTTACTGAAGAGGCTGTCTTTCTTCCATTCTATTGTTTTAGCTCCCTTATCGAAGATTAGATGGCTATAGGTCTGTAGGTTCATTTAAATATTTTTTCTTAAGTAGACTGTTTTTGACCCCATGTTTTTATACCCAGAGGGCTGCTGTCCAGATCTGTTTTGCAAGCGCAAAGTGCTTCTCCAATCTTCACCCATGTTTATGCAGCATTAGTGGCAATTATCAACTCAAAATTTCCACAAATTGGAGAATTAATCCTCAAGAGGCTGATTCTTAATTTTCGAAAAGGCTATCGAAGAAATGATAAGGTATCTATGAACAGCTTGTAAGTAGACTGTCACATAGGAACAAACTAATAAGCCAGTATCAACAAAAGTAAGCATACTGGTTTCTACACAAATGCTTTTTAAAAACTGTACTTCATGAAGACTGTTCTGGTTTTATTAAGGTTTCCCTCACATGTAACTCAGAAGAATGATGACTTTACCAGACTTGTGTAACAGTTAAATTAGTGAATAATGACTTTGTTTCCTATGTATTATTTTCATATAAAATTATCCTTGCATATTTTTTTTTTTTGAGTCCTGTCGTGGGGCTTGAACTCTGGGCCTGGGCACTGTCCCTCAGCTATTTAGCTCAAGGCTAGCACTCTACCACTTGAGCTACAGCGCCACTTCCGGCTTTTTTCTTTTTTCTTATGTGGTGCTGAGGAATCGAACCCAGGGCCTCAGGCATGCAAGGCAAGCGCTCTATCACTGAGCCACCTTCCAAGCCCCTCCTTACATATTTTTTTAAGAGTCCATTTGTAAGTTGTAGATCCAACAAATACACAAAAGTTGGTTTTGGTTTATGGATTAACTTTGTGTTTTTACTTTTCAGCAACTTTGCCTTACTGCTTCAAAATTTGTGGCACATCTTATTAACCAAAACGTGGTAAGTGATTTTCTTTTCTTCTTTTCTTTTCTTCTTTTTTTTTTCTTCTTCATCTTTTTTTTGATGGCAGTCCTGGGGCTTGAACTCAGGGCCTGGGCACTGTCCCTGAGCTTCTTTTGCTCAAGGCTAGCTCTCTACCACTTGAGCCACAGCACTCTTTCTGGGTTTTTCTGTTCATGTGGTACTGAGGAATCACATCTAGAGCTTCATACATGCTAAGCAAGCACTCTTTATCACCACGCCACATTCCGGCCAATGGTTAGTGATTTCCAAAACTTGATCCCATTTAGTGCCATGGGATTGATGCCATATCAGTGATACATCTTTAATTTTGTTTAGATTTGTAGTCTTGACATCTATATTTTGGATGATACTTTAATTTTAAAACCATAATAAATATATCTAATATTTTTGATATATAAACAGAACTGAGAATACTTTTTAAAATACTTACTCAGATTAATTTAACTTAATATTGTATGTGGCTCTTCTTTAAAGAAGAAAATTGCCAGGCATTGGTGGCTACTCCTAGCTATTCAGTAGGCTGAGATCTGAGGATCATGGTTCAAAGCTAGCCTAGGCAGGAAAGTCTGTGAGACTCTTACCTTCAATTATCCACCAGAAAACTGCGTGGAGCTCTGGCTCAAAGTGGTAGAGCACTATCCTTGAACAAAAACAACTCAGGTTCATGGCTCTTGCAGGCCCTGAGTTCAAGCCGCATGACCGCCACCAACAACAAAAGAACAAAATTTAATCCTTGATTATTTTGGCAGTAATGGGATTTGAACTCAGGACCTTCCACTTGCTAATCAGGCACTCTACCACTTCAGTCACTCCTCTAGCCCTAATGTCCTGTTTTAAAAAGCAACAAATTTTCTTCACTCATTTCTGTATGCTTGGTGTTCATGACAGCCTAATAAATACCTAAGAGTATTCCCTGCTAATACTTAGATATATGTAAAAATAGAGTAAGTTAAATAGTTTTAAATATGTTACTTGTAAATAATTTTAACTTTGTCTTTATTTTGTATTCATGCATGTCTTGATGGTTTTGAGTTTATTTATATGTATATTATTTTTTCTAGTGCTGAGTATCAAACCTAGGGCAAGTACGTCAGCCCTGTTGTGTGTTAGCCCTTGTTTTCTTGAAATAGAGCATTATGATTTAGAGCTACTGACCTTGAACTTACTCAGCTGGCCTCAAACACAAGATCCTCCTTTTTCTACCTCTAGAATGCTAAGATTACAGACATGCACCGCAATGCCCAGCTTGTACTGTCATTTAATGTGGTATCTGTGTATCAGCAAGAGCATTAAAGTCAAACCTACTCTTATTTCTCTAGTATTAAACAATACTTTAATTCTTATGTACCTGAAATTCTTCCTAGTGTGAGCTCTCATAATTAGTCAGACATTATTACAATGGCAATTTGTTACATAAGACCATGGAAACATAATTTCACATCTAAAATTGCAGAGATCTGTATCTGTTTTCCAATGTGTTTTACACTTACATTGGACTTTTTTTTTAGCAGTGCCACAAAGCAGATAGAATGTTATATATTTTGTACCTACCCAGTGAAATACCTGGCAGCATTTCTTCTCACTAAAATAAGGCTATTTAGCACCTTCCCCTACTCCTCAGAAAGTAAACAAAATGCCAGCAGTATATTTTTGATACTGTGCACAGTATGAAAAGGCTCTTTTCCTGAGTTGAAATTTCTACTTTTTTCTTCCAATCTCTATTAGATGCCTGATTTATAAAGATGTATGGTTGGATAGAAGGTGTCTTTAACAGTCTTTGTAGATCATTTCCTTCTTGCAGCAAAGCATATCATAGAATTATATTTTCATTGGATGTGGCATTGCTTATTTTGTAAAATATTGTAGTTTCATACTACAAGTGGTTATTGGTGTACCCAAAAACATTGAAAATTAGTCCTGTAACTTCAAGACTATTTGTGTTTAACAGTTACTTATAGAACGAAAGAAAAAGGGAATTATAAAAAGAACTTGCTATTCCTTATGTGGTGATTATGAAAATGATTATTGAAAATCGGTGCAGGAAGTCATTATTGTGGCTCATGCCTGTAATCCTTGCATTTAGGTGTCTAGTCTCAAAAGAGTTGAGTGATTTCCATGCCAATCTGATCTATAGATAACAAGACCCTGTTTGAAAAATAGAATAGCAATAATAATTTGTGATAGTTAACTTACAGTTTAATCTAGAATTTTTTGTATGTCGTATCTAAGAAGAATATTTCTTCTGGAAATAATTCAAATAGTTGTATTCAGCAAGTAAGTTAAGATTTTGTAATACTCACCCATATAATACTAATAGATACATAAAGTCATACAGATAAATTATATGTACAATATTTATAAGAAAATTTACTAAGTTTTAGTATGAGCAGGCTAGAATATATGAAAGCATTTCCTCTTTCTTCCATGGTGAAATGTTTTTCTCTTCCCTTTGTATTCCCTTTAAGGCACATGAAGTTCTGTGCTTAGAGATGCTCACTTTGCTCCTAGAAAGGCCAACAGATGATAGTGTTGAAGTAGCCATTGGTTTTCTTAAGGAATGTGGCCTCAAATTAACACAAGTGTCACCAAGAGGAATCAATGGTAAGTAGAGAACTGTAGTTTATATATTCTAGTGTATTTTACTTGAATATTAATAACAATTGTTACTTATTTTATTTCTGTCCAACATTAGCTATTTTTGAAAGACTTCGAAACATTCTACATGAATCTGAAATTGACAAAAGAGTTCAGTATATGATTGAAGTGATGTTTGCTGTACGAAAGGATGGATTCAAGGACCACCCAGTTATTCTGGAAGGACTTGACTTAGTTGAGGAAGATGATCAGTTCACCCACATGCTTCCTTTGGAGGATGACTATAACCCAGAAGATGTTCTTAGTAAGTGTGAGGGACATAAAATGAGAAGTGCAATAGCAACAGATATAAACACAGAAATTAAATACTTAACTTTTATTTTTTAAGATGTTTTCAAGATGGATCCTAACTTTATGGAGAATGAAGAGAAGTACAAAGCTATTAAGAAAGGTATGTAAAATATTTTGGATAACTAGAAGCAATTCAAGTAGTTATGTAATACTACTGGTAGAAAGGATATTTATAGATTACTGATCCTTACTAAGTAAAATCTCTGCTCTTATGAAGCTGTTTTCCTTTTATGGTTTCCCCATATATTGTTTTTCTTTGTGTGATGTTTGCCCACAGTATTACTTCATCTTGAATTATTTACCTCACTGTTTCTCTCTTCCCCTGTAAATTACAAATATTCATAGATTACCAGTGATCTAAATGTGTGTGAACTAAATGACGGTGCTACTGCTTTACTACCTCATTTGTACTTCATTAATGAATTGCACAAATTTTGGTTTGTGGTTTGTGTTTAACATTATAACTAACCAAGTTCCTTGTTCAAGTAATGTTATTTGTTTGTGGAAGGGTAAATATAATTTGTGTATGCTTTGTATTGCCACAGATCATGTATTCACACAGTGCTATCATTACTCTTATGATTTTCATGTTTGCATTATTATTTTTCTCCTAAAGCTAATGTCCAGATTTATTTATGCAGTAGCTTTTTGGATTTATTTTCTTTGAGTGGTGATTTTTTCTAAGAAGTATATATTGCTCTGGATGTTCCTCTGAGGAAAGTAGAGTCCTAGAGCTCTTTCTTTGTCTCCGTTCTTTACATTAGTTGTACTTAGAAGTAGAAAGCAAATGTGTAAGAACTTCCATTTCTATACAGTATCCTAAAAATCTGGTGTCGTAAACAGGTTTCTCACTGCTGATTTCTTAGCAGCTCATTTCTTTTTCATTGCTGATTTCTTGGGAGCTTTCATTGCCATTGGCTAGATTGCTTTGTCTGTTATACTTCAGTTTCTAAACATAGAGAACTCCTTAAACCCATTGCCTTCTTTCCTTAACAACTTTTTTCCCAACAGCCTTCCTAAAAAGGGCTAAATGACTTTTCAGATTTTGCTATACTTGATATGACTTCTTTGTATTTTAATCTGGAGAATTCTGTAACCATTTCATTAAGGTCTAGGCAGTTAGCCAATACCTGGAATGTAGTACTTTGCTTTATTACAGCAGTTCTTGAATTGTTTGGTCTCAAGATCCCTTAACATTTTTGAAAATTACAGTGAATTCCAACGAGTTCCTTTTTATGTGTTATATCACTGATACTTAGTGTGTTAGAAATCAAATGAAGGATATAATACTTTCTGTTGTTTGAAAATAATAAAGCTAGTATATAACAAACTATGTTTTTATGGAAATAATTATTTTATAAAACAAATCAATTTAAGGAATTATGTATTATATAGGTTAATACCTGGCCTAAAGCAAATAGCTGCATATTCCAGTTTATATAGTCAGTATGTTATAGTTCACTGTCTAGTCTCACATAGATAATTAGTTAAGAAAGGAGAGGAATATCCTTTTCAGATGAGAATCTTCCTTAATACTATATTTATATTAAGCAGATAATGGGTTCTTAAAAATTCATTTCTGTTTGAAATCTAAATTAGTATAGATGAATTTTCAAACCCCACTACATTAAAATCCATTAGGATGTCACTGTCAGTGGGTCATTAAGGCATGTGTTTTGTTACGATCATTGGTCATTTGGAGACTACTGATGCATTGAGTTATATACATAATCTAAATGCCAAGACATAAATATTATCATTGTCATTTTAACATGTTAGTATATTATCAGGAAATCACTTTTGTTAGTATTACTCCCTGCCTCTTCAGAAGAGTTCAAGTTTAGGAAGTTATCAAGCTTAGTGATAGAGATGTAGGTTTCCAAAAGTTATAGTAGTAGCAAATACTGTTAGTTGTTTACCTTGTAATGGCAGTCTTACTCTGTTTATATTTGTACAAAAGCCTGCCAGATATTGAATAGCTATGAGTAGTTGGCCAATTCTTTCCAGGTAAAACCAAACAATTCAGAAAGTCAAATCATTGCTTATCCTGAAGGAACCACTATTACTCTAGATTTTCTTTAACAGAAGTGATATATACACAGACTTCCTATATTGTCACTCAGATTATGATAAAGGTCTCTACTTAAGGACTGGAATTTAAGAAAATTAATGTTCTACGTGTTCATTAAGGACTTTTTTTTCTACTGTTAATGTGCGGTGAAGAGTGTACAGTTTAATTCCTTAATTTATTCTTGGATTAAAGCAGTTTCAAGCCAAATTGACCTGGACCCTCATAGCCATCAGCAGAGCAGAAATGCGATTAAAATATGTCTTGGTATTACTATAAAAATGACTGACCTCACAGACCCCTTAGAGTCCTAGACTATTCTTTGAAATCACTGCTTTATTCATTTAAAAGAAATCTAATTGGCTTTGCCTAAGTGATTTCAGTAAATAGATTCTAAACCAGAGAGGAAAAGAGGATGATGTAAACTATTAGACAATTCATTTGACCTTCATTCCTTAGTAAAATATTCTAGAAGTGGAATAAAAAAAATGGCCACAGCAGGAAGTCAGCACAGCTTTAGTAATTAGCACCTTAGAGTGACCTAGGTGTACTTATGTTTTAGGTTTTATAGCATTTGGGAAAACAGCAGGAGAGTCTGCCTTCCTACTTTTGAATACTAAATAGTTTCTTTTTGAGAGTCTGTCTGAGCTGTTTTACATTATAAACTAGACACTAGAGATTATTTCTAGAAGCAGAATTTGTTAGAAATATTTCTAAGATTTATACATCAGGTAAGAGCAGAATGATAATTTTGTAAAACTTTTTTTCATAGTCTGTAGTTCTCTGTTTAAATATGTGATTCTGGATTTATATACCAATTTATTTACATTCATAAAGAAATTAGAATTTTTCTAAAACTGAGTTGACTAAAGTTTGATTTAAAAAAAATTACTGTGAAGGTGATAAACCGGGGGTTACAATTACAAAAATAAGGTAATGAGTACATTGCTTTTTAAACACTCTTACCCCTCCCTCATTTTCTCCCACTCCCCACCGTACCATGTTGTAAAGGTCATTTCCAGTGTAGTGTCTAGTGAGTAGCATTTTGGTCATTAGTTCATCCTTTGTCCTGTTATTTCTTTATTCTCTTTCCCTTCCATGGATCAGATAAGCTTATATACAAAAGACTAAGACAGAAAAAAATACATAAATAACTGCATACAGGGCATAACAAAAACCTCTTGTTTCCAGTTCTTGGAGTTCATTTTGTTGTGCCTAAACATATATGGGCCTGTGCACTTAGTGATTGAGTTATTGTGATCCTCTGCTAAGAATATCATAGACATATTCTAGTTATTACAAATGAGAGAAAGCATGCAAGTTACGTTTCTTTGAGCTTGGCTTGTTTCGCTTAATATGATTTTTCCCATGTCTTCCCATTTGCCACTGAGCTCTTTTTTTTTTTTTGGTCCGGATGTGGGGCCTGAACTCTGGGCCTGGGTGCTGTCCCTCATCTCTTCAGCTCAAGGCTAGCGCTCTACCACTTGAGCCACAGCACCACTTCTGGCTTTTTTTTCTGCTTATGTGGTGCTGGGAAATCGAACCCAGGGCCTCATGCATACAAGGCAAGCACTATACCACTGAGCCACCTTCCCAGCCCTCGCTCAGCTCTTTTGCTCAAGCCTAGTGCTCTACTTTGAGCGACAATGCCACTTCTGGCTTTCTGGTGGTTTATTGGAGATGAGAATCTCATGGACATTCTTGCCCAGGCTGGCTTTGAACCCTGATCCTCACATCTCAATTTCCTGAGTAGCTAAGAGTAAACTAACAGTGACTGGCTAAAATTTGATCTTAAAAACTTATTAATTATATGTTTGCCTGGGTTATCAGCCTAGCAGCGCTATTAAGTAAGTGTAATTTTAGCTTCTGTCATTCGTTTCCTATTAACATAATGAATGGTCTTATGTAGTGACATACAAATCTATACTTTTGTTTACTTCTAAATGAGTTGTATTTTAAGACATGATAGTCCAATACAGTGATTCTATTGCCATTTTTTAAACCTCAGTTGTATATATGAAAAATCTTTTTTTATTTTTTGGGGGGGTCTGGTCGTGGGGCCTGAACTCTGGGCCTGGGTGCTGTTCCTCAGCTCTTCAGCTCAAGGCTAGCGCTCTACCACTTGATCTACAACCCCACTTCCGGCTTTTTTCTTTTTGCTTATGTGGTGCTGAGGAATTGAACCCAGGGCCTCAGGCATGCAAGGCAAGCTCTGTACCACTGAGCCACCTTCCCAGCCCCATGAAAAATCTTTTTTAAAGATTCTTTATTAGCATATATGAGTTTTATAAGTGGGTTTTTTTTTTTAAATTTTATTTTATTTTATTTGAGAACATACTGTACAGAGGGGTTACAATTACATGGGCAGGATAATGCATACATTTCTTACCAAGCATTGCAGCCTCCTCCTTTGTTTACCCTTCACCTCCCTTCCCAGCCTCCCCCCTCCCTCCCACCCAATCATACCCCCCCACCCCTCCCCACCGACATTGTAATGCTGATTTGACATGACATTTTGTACTTCTCATTGTTGCAACAGGTCCACCTGAAATCCTTAAAAGACTTGTTTGTCCCCATCTCCTCCACATGTTATACTGACATCAAATATAGTGAAAGCGGGGGTTACACTGTGGGGGAGGGACATACAAAGCAACAAAGAAATTATCTTATAAATGCGTTAGAAACACATGCATGAAAGAAACAAAAACATTAAAATACATACTTGAGGTTTCGTTTTCCTAACATCACATTATCTGACTTTTTCCGCTTGACTCATACCTATACTAGATATTGCAAATAAGGGAAACCATGGGACCTATGTTTCTTTGGGCCTGGCTTACTTCACTTAATATAATTTTTTCCAAGCCTTTCCATTTCCTAACAAATGGGGCAATGTCATTCTTTCTGATGGAGGCATAGAATTCCATTGTGTATATATACCACATTTTCTTGATCCATTCATCTACTGAGGGGCATCTGGGTTGGTTCCATGTCTTAGCTATGGTAAATAATGCTGCAGTAAACATAGTTGTGCTGGTAGCTTTAGTGTGGCCTTGTTTGTGATCATTTGGGTAAATGCCCAAAAGTGGGATTGCTGGGTCATTGGGGAGCTCTATGTGGAGTCTTTTGAGGAACCTCCATACTGCTTTCCAAAGTGGTTGAACAAGTTTACATTCCCACCAACAATGAAGTAAGGTTCCTTTCTGTCCACATCCCCTCCAGCATCTGTTGTTGTTAGAGTTCTTGATTTTTGCTGTTCTAACTGGAGTGGGGTGATATCTCAATGTTGTTTTGATTTGCATTTCTTTTATGGCTAGGGATGTTGAACATTTCTTCATGTGTCTATTGGCCATCCTTCTTTCTTCTTCAGAGAAGCTTCTCTTTAAGTCTTTCGCCCACTTACTTATTGGGCAGTTGTTTCTTTGAGGATTTGTTGTTGGGTGGTTTAGTTTTTTGAGTTCCAAGTATATTTTAGATATGAGACCCTTGTCCGTTGTATGGCTAGTAAAGATCTTCTCCCAGTCCGTGGGCTTTCTATTGATCTTGCTAGCTATGTCATTTGCCCTGCAGAAGCTCTGCAACCTTATACAATCCCATTTGTCCAGCCTTTCTTTGATTTGTTGTGTTTCCGGGTCTCTATTCAGAAAATTTCGGCCTGAGCCAAGGAGACCCAGGGTTTCTCCTATTCCATCCTATAAGTGGGGTTTTGTTGTGATACTTCTACAAAGGCATACAGTGTACCCCAACAGCCTTATTCCCTCTATCATAAACTCTCACCCCACCATCTCCTTGTTAAAACAATTCCAACAGGTTTTATTCTTGTTTCCATACATGCAGTAAATAAAGTACTTGGCCATATTCACATTCATTCACCTTCATTATTCCTCCTTTGATATGCCTCAAAAAGAGTGTTTTGAAAAATCTTTAATTTGATTTTAATACTGTTTAATAAGTATACATCTTGATAAAAATATCATTACTGTTTATTTGAATTACCTTAAGTTCTGATTTTCTGTGTATTAGCATGACATTGCATAGTAAACTACCCTATTTCTAATGATACAATAATATTTTGATTTTTATATGTTAGTTCCTTGGAGTATTCTTTTTCCCCAGTCTTCATCTCATCTACTTTTTCTTTGTGCTTCTTGTTTCATGCCCACTTTTATCTGGCAAAAGAATGAAATCAGTTTAGTGCTTTCTCACCACTTAGATATCAATACAAGCAAGGCTTGTATGATCATCCATGTTGGCAGGTAAACTGTTATAACACTTTCTATGAACTGAGAACGTGTGGTCCCAGAATGAGATACATGTATCTTGCTCATTATTTTTTTTTTCCTTAAATTACTTCTTCCTTCAGAAATACTTGATGAAGGAGACAGTGATTCAAATACAGACCAAGATGCTGGGAGTAGTGAAGAGGAAGAGGAAGAAGAGGAGGAAGAAGGAGAAGAAGACGAAGAAGGTAAAATCTAATTTGGTTAATAGTATCAATACTCTAATGTGGATAATAGTACCAATACTCTAATTAAATTTCCAAAGAAATAATATAAACCAGTGTTCTCAATCTGCTGGGAGGATGTTGGAAGGAACACTTGTGGTATCTAGTGGGTTAAACATCAAAATACAAAATTGTCACACAAAAATTGTATTCATCCCAAGAGTAGTCTTTCTGTTGTTGTTTGTCATGCTAGGGATTAAACCTAGGGATTGCACACACTTGGCAAGCACTCTAGTACTTATGTTGTGAACCTAGGCCCCAAGGAATATTAACAAAGAAATGCATTTTTTAATATCAGCATACTTTCAATTTGACATCTTAGGCCTCTGATTATATTATAAAGTGTATGAAATCTATTCATGTTAAGTGCACATGATTTATTTAATCCTGGCAAACATGTGACAGATATGAATGACTAGATACTTGCTATTCTTTTTGGCAAAATAGAATAGGGAGGCCAAAAGCTATATTTATACAGAAGCAGTCATGATATTGTTCCTCTTCAGTGTTGATTATTACACAGAAAAATGAGTCTAGAACTCTACTTTGGTGCTGTTCAGTTCATATATCAGGACATGTATAAACCAGTTATTTATATGGATTATATATTCCAAATATTAAAAATACTAACATTTTAGTTTGGTCTACAGCTAAATTGTTGTTCTATAACTTATTTTATAAAAGTGGCTTTCACTATTTCCAAGTGTTGTTGTTTTTAAGTCATGTAACTTGCCCACATAATATCTTTTAATTTAAAATTTCTTTGTTTTATGCTGTTCAAATAAAAAACAACAATATAAGCCAAGCTTCAGTGTCTCATGTCTATAATCCTAGCTGTTCAAGAGGCTGATCCAAGGATCATGATTCAAAGCCAGCCCTGCAAGAAAGACTGTGAGATTCTTATTTCCACTAAAACTACCAAAAAGTAGAAGTAGAGTTGTAGGGCAAGTGCTAGCCTTGAGCAAAAACATCCCTCTGGCCATGGCTGCATTCAAGCCCCATGCCAGCACCAAAAACAAAACAAAACAAACCAGAACAAAACACAGTATAAGACATGATTTTGCGTAGTCCCACTCCCATTGAGCAGAGCTTATGCTCACTTCATTCTCTGTACTTTTTCTTCAGTAAACTTGTGGTTCTTCATTATTCCTGGTGTGTTTTACTCAATTCTTTGAAATATCAGGAACCTGGAATAACACCTAATCCAGAACACTGTCAGTAACACTAATACCAACCTAAGTTGGATTATCTGCACCCACAAAATCTGAGAGAGAGAGAGAAACTTCACAAATATTTATATTTGATTCACAAAACCTGTATTCTCTTAAACTGAATTTCTTCCTATAAATTGTAGTTCTTTAAATTATCAAAACATTGTTTATTGTTCTGGAAATAATATTTTACCAAACAAGAGCAAGAGTGTAGCCTTTTCTAATGAGCGGATGACACAGAGTTCTGAGCTTTGAGCTAAGAGAATCATAGAACAGAAAAACTTGAAGCAATTACTTGTGACTGTAAATGCCAGTATACACAGTAGAAAAGAGTACTATTAAGTTCTGGAAGATTCTAAATAGATTTGTGGAAAGATAGGCAGAGATACATTGTCATTTCTTCAAGTTTGTTTTTGTAGTTTCATAAGTTTACTTTTAATTTCTTTCAGGACAAAAAATGACTATTCATGACAAAACAGAAATTAATCTAGTCTCATTCCGTCGTACAATATATCTTGCTATTCAGTCAAGGTAAGACACCATAGCTTAGTTGGTCCTTTTTTCCTTTCCTTTTCTTTCTTTCTTTCCTGAATAATGGATGATGAGAGAGATTAGGATCAGAGATTCATTTTAGAACCTGAGAACACAAAATTTGATACTATTTAGACACCATATCAGAGATCTTGGAATACTTCCTCCCAAATCTTGTTCTTTGCCAGAGCTTTTAGGTCCATACTTTGCTTCAAGGGTAAATTATTTATTTAAAAATAGTGTTATATTAGATATTTTAGCTATGTCATTTCTCAGAGTTAAATACTACTAATAAAACCCTAAAAATAATATTAAAAGCTAACATAGTTCTTGCATGATGCAAATTTAATGTTGGATATATGTTTTTAAAATTTGGTTTCTAATTCTCATGTAGGAGAGAAGCGTGATTGTGATGACTTTGAGAAACTTCTTGTGCAGATGCACATGAATATAAATGGGATTGGAAATTAGATTTAGGAAGGTTATGAGAACCCTTTGCAGTGATCTCAAGGAAGACAATGTTATGAAAATAAAACCTACTTGCTTTGAAGACTATGAGTTTCATTTTGAAGATGTATTTGAGGATGTTAAATGCTTAGTGCATCTGTTATTTTGTATACAAAACAGCCTGTTGATTTAGTATTCTCCATTTTGTTGCTTAGGTTTTGTATATTTCCATTTAGTATGGTGTAATACCAATAATGATTCATAAGTACGAGTCATCATGTTTTTAGTCTGACAACTTTGGCTCCAGATTCATCTTCAAACACAGGAATATTAAAAGCAGAACAGAAAATTTGGGGTTTAACTTACTTCCTTTCTACATGAAAAGCTGTTAAACGTTGGGATAGTTTGTGGGTATGTACTAGCACCAAGGCTTGCACTCAGAGCCTCAAGCTCTTGCTTAGCTTTTTCACTTAGGTCTGGCACTCTACCATTTGAGCTACCCTGGCAGTTCAGCTTTTTTTTCTGGTTAATAAAAATAGAGTCTCAAGAACTATTTAGCCTGGGCTGACTTCAAATCATGATATTCAGACATCAGCTTCCTGAATAGCCAGAATTATAGGCGTGAGCTACCAGAACACAACCTTTAATATTTTAATAGAAACTTGCTTGTCTTTTTTTTTTTTTTTTTTTAAAGAAATCTTAACAGTAAACAGTACACAGCAAATTCTCTTTTCTTTTAATTTAACTTTATTGTCAAGGTGATGTATAGGGGGTTACAGTTACATAGTAAGGTAGTGAGTACATTTCTTGTCAAACATTGTTTCCCCCCTCCTTTGTTTTTCTTCCACGTTCTCGCCTCTTTAGTGCATCCCCCTCAAGTTGTAAAGTTCATTTCCAGCATACTGTCTCTTGAGTATCGCTGTTGCATTGATTTGCCTTTTGTCCTTTATTTCACCATTTTGTTGTCCCTTCCCTTCCCTAATTCAGATAAATGTATATACACTACACAGGATACCAAAATCAAATACAGTGACAATAAGTGATAAACCGTGGGGGAAAGAAAAACAAAAGAAAAAAGAAATAACTTCACATAGCACATTAAAAACAACAACAAATAAATACCTGTTGTTTCCATATCTTGAAGTTCATTTCACTTAGCATCATCTTATATGGTCATATGTACACAGCTATTGTGCTATTGTGATCCTCTTCTGGGACTATCCTAAACATACGCTAATTATTACAAATGAGGGAAACCATGGGTCTGGCTTACTTCACTTTCATTGCAGCATTATTTAACATAGTTAAGATATGGAACCCAGATGTTCCTCAGAAGATGAATGGATCAAGAAAATGTGGTGTGTATGTGTGTGTGTGTGTGTGTGTTGTATGTGTGTGTATTCCATTTTATATACATACATATATATATGCATATATATACATATATATAATATATATATATATGTGTGTGTGTGTGTGTAATTCTGTGCTTCCATCAGAAAGAACACCATTTGTAAGGAAATGGAAAGACTTGGAAACAATCAAATTCAGTCTAAATGCCACTGATTGTATTTGTCAAAGGTTATTACACTCATAAGTACTCTTTATCTTACTTATCTTACTTATATAACTAACCCTTCTGTATATCACCTTTACAATAAAATTAAATTAAAAAAAGTTTAATAGACAAATGTTTAAAGTACTTGGATGGGATAATCATGTAAGGAGCTAAGCATGTTTAAAGTAACTTAATTTAACTTATCAAATATCTAGACTAAGAAGTGCTGTTACTCACTATTAATAAGTAACTTACTATTTTTGAAAAAGCAGTGCTAATCTTCATGATTTTTCAGAAACACATAGACATTGATTTGTACACTTTCCTTAGAATTTACATTTAAAAAATTTAATTAGTATACTTGTACAAAGGAGCATTTCATTGTGACATTTCTACACTTGTAAACAAGGTATCCTGATCAACCTTCCATGAGAAGACTATGGAAAGCCTTATGTCCCCACTGAAAGTTCAAGTAATTAGTGTTATAAATGTGGACAAATTTTCTGACATAATGTTAGGTGAAGTGAGATTAGCTAGAGATGTGCTTGCAGTATATTATCTGAAAAATAGATTCCAGAAATAATGCAGTGACATGCTAATGTTTATAGTATAATAGGCTAGATGGAATAAAATAATTAATTTTCATGGCTGTGAGGCAAGCAGTTGATTTTGGAGCATCTTGTGAACAAAATTCTTGACAGCTGACCTTTGTGCAAACTGCAGGTTTTTTCTTTCTTTTTGTTAACTGTTTGTATTCTTCGTATTGTTTAAAATTGTTTAAAATTGCTCTTTATATTTATGTAAAATATAAGGCTATAAAGTTTGCTTTACTACTGAAAATAAAGTAGTATCACAGGAAGGAAGATTATCATGTCCCTGCCAATTTATAGTTTTAAAATTGGACACCGACAAAATCATTTTTTAACACGACTTGAAAGCCTCATGTCAAGAAGAGAGTAATTTAGTAATGCCTTTTTATCTACTCTCTCCTCAGACATTACTGATTTGTTCTAAACTCAGAAATCTTTGATTTTCCAACCTAAGATGTAATATCTCAACTAAACTTTAATAATTACTGCAATGCCAAAACAGTCTTAGGTATAGAAAAGCATCATATGCTTTAAGAGTAAAATAAGTACAAGGAATATATCTAATATAGAATACTTAATTAGATTTTGTTTAAAGTAGGAAAATTTATCATATATTTAACTTGTTAAATATTTTCAGAAATATCAGGGTTTTGTTATTGTTTGTTTCTGAAAACTTAACTCTATTAAGAAAAAGAAAAGAAAATCACGTTTTAATATCTTTTATTATTGCTATATTGTTAAAAAAAATCTGCCTGAATTCATTTTTATTTTATTCTTTATTCCATTGCCTTGTGCCATCCTAGATTATAGGATCCAGTAGTTTTCATGAACCCCTGTATGTAATAAAACCTGAGAAATCGAGATCTACTGCAAAACCAGATTTATAATGATTATATTTCATTTAATAATGATTTTTATACTGTTTATCTCAAAGAAATGAAAGTTTGAACATTCTACATAGGGCATACATTAACATTATTCCTCAGTCACACCTAATTTGTTAATTCTCTTAGGCAAAGTGTGTTGAAAGTGTTTTAAAATTAATTTGTATAAACTCTGGAAACACATGCTTTTTTTTCTTTACAAGTTGATGATTTTTTTCATAAATTGTAGAAGGCCTGCATTTTGGTATGAATAAAATAACTCGTCTAAATGATGACAATAACTAGAATGTCAGGCTGACCCCCTGGAATGTTGTTCACCTGTTCCTGTTTTTAGTTAGCAATTAGTGGCAATTCTTAGCAGTTTCAAAAGATGTAAAAGCATTCAGTGTTTAGTAGATACAATTTCATTCATTCTTCCATGCTGAGATTTTAATGTAAGCATGAGAAACTTTATGTTTAGTCCTGTTTCAATTGGGAATTCTCCTTCCATTTCTAAACATAGTGTACATTTTAAGAAACTGCTTTTCAAGTTAAAACTTACAGGCATTCCATTGAAAGCATATTTGAATGTTCAAGTCTAACTTTTCGTAAATACCTCTGAGTCTTCTCTCTGTAAATGACAGGATGGAATCAGTTTGTCTCTAAGTCATGCTGAAATGCTAATTAGGTATGTGAACCTATATCAGGATTGTTATCTACAGGTATTTTGGTTTTTGTTCTTGTAGGTATTGGGGGTTCAACTTGGCCTTAAGCTTGCTTGCTCTAGCTCTTTACCATTTGAGCCACACCTCCAGCTTTGCCCTTTGATGGTTATTTTTTGACTTGTAGTTTTGAGGATTTTTTTTTTTTTTTGCCATAGTTGGCTTTGAACCAGGATCCTCTAGATCAGCCTTCTGAGTGGTTAAGATTACAAGATGTGAGCCACCAACACCTAGCTACAGATGTTCGTACTTCTGGCTGTTATTAATTTAGCTACCTATTTTGTGACTGAAGAATAAGAACATATTTCTCAAAAATTGTATCATATGGGCTGGGAATGTGGCTTAGTGGTAGAGTGCTTGCCTAGCATGCATGAAGCCCTGGGTTCAATTCCTCATTACCACATAAACAGAAAAAGCTGGAAGTGGTGCTGTAGCTCAAGTGATAGAGTGCTTGCTTTGAACACAGAGAGGCTCAAGGACAGTGCACAGGCCCTGAGTTCAGGCCCCAGGACCAGAAAAATTTTTACCATATATATCATATATCATATATTATGTAATATATAATATATGTGTCACACAAATATGTGTGGCTCTAAGGTTTTTTAAAGCTTTACTTTTCTTTATCCCTCATTATTGAGAATCCTGTTTTTTCTAAGCTTTAGGATAAATTCTTTATGTGAAGTTATTGTCCTCCACAATTTGAAGGAAAAGATTTTACTTATGTTTAAGAATTTATTTCTGTTTTACTTCAGTAATCAGTTTGGAACTGAACACATTGGATACTCATAATTGGGAAAGTCTGAGTTATTGTATTTCTTCACCTTATAACAGATACTTTAATTTAATGAGATATAGCTTCAGGTTAATTCATTTGAGAGAATAAAAATCTTTTTTAATTGGCATTTAATTTACATGTAATAAAATTACTTTTCAAGTGCACAGCTAGTTGTATCAGCATAGTTACAAAATTGTTCAGCCATCAATAATAATTCCAGAACATTTTCATCATGCCAAACTAAGTTAATTCCTATTCCCTTCACCTTCTTTCTCTGTATATAGACTTACCTACTTCGAGCATTTATATAAATAGATCAGTTATATTATGTATGCCTTTCATATCTGACTTCTACTTATCCTAATTACAGATTTATCCATGCTGTGGTATGCATTCTTTTTTCATTCTCTGGAATTAAGAGCTGTGTTTGATTTATATTTTCCAATTAAAAACTTATTCAAAACAATAGTAAAGGTATAAAATAGTCTTGTATGTTCAGTTAAAGAGAGCTTAGTTCATTACTGCAAGCTTTTAACCTATTGTGACCATCTTATCTCCTTTTTATCTTTCCATAGTTTAGATTTTGAAGAATGTGCCCACAAATTGCTGAAAATGGAGTTTCCCGAAAGTCAAACAGTATGTTAATAATGCTTTTATAATTAATATGTATTGCTTATAAAAATATTTAAGACAGTTTTTATAAATAGAAACACTAATTCAAAGTTTAGGTCTTTTAAGGGTATCTTAAAAATGCTACTTATTCCACTAAATTAAATTATCTGATTAACTATTGAAAGACAGCCTTGAGAACAATCACGTTTTATATAGAATTTCTGCGTATAAATCAAATGTGTCATAGTAGGAAGTGTGTTCTTTTATAAATTACCTGATCCATCCCTTTATGCATTAAAGAATTACTTTGTTATATAAATTATAAAGAGAATAGTATATACTATTACATTGCACTAGTTGGACGTAGAATTTGTTGTTTTTCATTCATTAATTCATTTGACATATTCTATGTCAGACTCTCTGTAAGCTCAGTGATTTAGAGATTTATAAAGTACGTATAGGGCCTTTTCTTTACCCCATGGGACTCATTCCCTTTATAACTCACTGTACCTCAGTCTTCAAAATATCAGAACTCTAATGATGAGGATAATAAACACCAAATTGGTAAGTAAATTGTCTTGTATTTTTTACTAATGGTCTTGTATTTATTGTTCTCTACACCTATAGATATTTAGGTCCTTGAACCTGAGCCAAGGCTTTGTTGGTTTTACTTTTCACTTTACTTTACATATAGTAGATTCCACATAGATATTAGATTGAATGTATCAACTCTAAGAAGCTGCTCAGTTTTTAATTCTTGATTCTCTGAGCTAAGTTACTATTAGATGTAATTTCCTTCCTTGATGATGTAATTTCTTTGCTGTAAGGCAGTAATCATGATCTGTGACCTAGACCTATTGCCTGTTTTATAAAATAAAGTTTTATTAGAATAAAACCATTAATTGAGCTATCTCCCTTTCCTCATGGCTGTTTTCACATCATGGTAGTAGAATAAGTAATTTCAACAGAGATTATTTTATCTCTAACCTTTACAATATGTACTACCAGTTACTTTGGAGAAAACACTTTCTAATCCTTATTCTGTAATACAGATTTGTTCTTAAAATGCTGTGCTGTAGAATTTTGAGGAAAAACAAATATTTTCGAATTAAAAAAATTATTTGATAATATAGTAATAATGATGTTCCTATTTATATTCTGGCTGCAATTGATACATCATTTTTGGAAAAGTAAATAGTAAATTAACCTTTAAAATTATACTCAACACTATAATTAGGAAAGGTTATAATTAATGTATGATCTTGTTACATTATTTAAATAATACAGTTACATCATAAACATCAATCCAAAGGGTAGTTGTTCTAGAACTTAACCTCAACATATTTTGAGAGTACTTGCAAGTATCATAGTGCTTTAGTTTTTATGTACTCAGTAGACTACTAAAATTGCTCTAATATTTAATTGAAATGTTAAAATATTTTATTAGTATAAGCCATAGGGAATAACTCATAATTGTATTTAGTCTAGGGATGAAATTAATTTGTTTTTCGAGTAGTGCTGTTAGCAATGCTATTGGCACATTACCATGTTTTATTGTTTAAAATCTAATTAACTGCTGTATTGTACAACACTGTTAGTAAGAGAAATTGAAAGTGAATTTTAATAAATCAAGTTAACATAATACAGTGGAATGTAGAAAAGCCTCATTTAAAGTTTTCAGTGTCATATGGAATTTTGACAAAGCTTATTTTTTCTGGACTGATGCATTTATAAGCACTTTTTAATTGAGTAGTGACAGGTTTTCTTTAAAAAGAAAAATGTTAGCAATGTGATGACATTACTATTATGTTTTAAAGTGAGACCTCTGTTGAGGTTGTTTCTTGGTAGATTATTTTTTGTTCCTAGGGTAGTACTGTCCAACAGAACTTCCTGCTTGGACAGAATATTTCTATTCTGCCCTAACCAGTACAGTAGCCACTAAACATGTGAGGGTTGCGTGAAATATGGCTAATATGACTTAAGTAAAATTTTAGTTTATATAACTTTAAGTAATGCAAATAGCATATAACTTTAAGTAATGCAAACAGCATATAACTTTAAGTAATGCAAATATGCCTAGTTGATTCCATGCTGGACTGCAGAGTTCTAGAGTATCCATTATCTGCTTTTTTAGGACCCCTACTGATCTCTTGCTGTAAGGGCCCTCATCAAAATCTCTTAACATTATTTACATAGATGAGCATAGTAAATGCTTATTGATTTACTTCTTAGGTTATATATGTATTATTAACTATGACATTAGATCCAAATAAAGATACACAGATAAAAATTAACTTAAAAAATTCATATTTTATTTTTATAGGAGTGCTTTCTAAATTTAAAGAAAGTAAATATATAAAGCCAGACCCAAAGAAGCATAGGTTGCATGGTTTCCTTCATTTGTAAAAGTTAGAATGTGCAATGGGTGGTAAAAGACAAAAATTTACACTTGGACATGATAAATTAAAAAGGACTCTAAACATTCACATAGTGAGACCAAAGGAGTATATTCCTAGGAGAGGATCACAAAGGCTCAATAGCTGTGCATATGATCATATAAAATGATGTTTATCGAAATGAACTCCAAGATACGTTTTTTTATTCCTTTGTTTTTCTAATTTTTTTTTACATTTGTTCCTTTTAACCATGAGTAAGGTCTTTTAAATTACAAGTGAAGTTGTTGTAGTCATGTTTTTGCAAAGACTCACTGTGTTCTTTCTTGTTTATTATATTTGGAAAGTGTATAAAATGTTAGGGTCCTTTTAGGTTACCATATATTTAGTCTCTGCTGACATACCTGTTTCATGTGCCAGGTTTTTTAGAAATGATTTATATTAATATGAATTTAGAATTTTATCATTAATCATATAAATAGCCTTAGATCCTCTAAACCAGACTAATTGTTTATAGGGTATTTGTATTTTGAATAATTACTGTGACTTTTTCCAAACAGAAAGAACTATGTAATATGATACTTGATTGCTGTGCTCAACAAAGGACATATGAGAAATTTTTTGGCTTATTAGCTGGGGTGAGTTTTGGCCTCTATTAGAATCTAACAGAAGCCCTAAGGGAAATCTTGGCATGAATGAATGATTTTGCTTTATGTTCTGCCCTGTTCTACTATGACAACATAGCTCTGACAGAAGTAAATTGTCCCTCCTTGCTTAGATTTCCTGCTCCTTTGTTTCTTCCTTACTATATGTTGGCAGTACCTTCACGTATCAGTCCTCCAGATTTTCTTAAAATTCTTCATGTAGCAATTTCCTATTATTGCACAATTAAATATTGTTTCAAAAAACTCAAAACAGTTATTAAAAGTAGGCAATATAAGTAAAACTTGACCTTGTTTTACTGTGTAGTACTTGGACTTGAATTCAGTCCTTGGTGCTTGCTAGGAAGGTGTTCTACACTTGAACTATGCCCCAATCCCACAATATTTTTTAACTCAAACTTAAAAGGTAGAAGTATATCCCCTAGACTAATGCATGAATCAAGGGTCAACTACATATCTAATTTTGTCTTAGTTTATAAATCCAGGCAGATAGAAATCATATATCAAACTTCCATTTTGAGCATCTTGTAAACAGAAAAAGTCTAGTGATGATATATTTTTGGAAGTAAAATATGTTTATTTTAGATTTAAATTACAAAGGTGAATGTGCTTATAACAGTTGCAATTCAGTTTTTACTGATACTGACATTCAATTTTTATTAGCGATTTTGCATGCTAAAAAAAGAATACATGGAATCCTTTGAAAGTATATTCAAAGAACAGTACGACACTATCCATCGTTTGGAGACAAACAAATTGAGAAATGTTGCCAAAATGTTTGCTCACTTACTATACACGGATTCACTTCCATGGAGTGTAAGTAGTTGGGTCAATATTCTTCTTTCCTCATCCTCTGTTATTCTCAAATGTGTATTAATTATGCCCTCTCTACACTAATCCTACTAAGACATGTGAACTAAAATGACATTTGTAGTATACTTTTCTATAACGTTTATCTTTGAGATTATATTCATGTAGCATGGGATAAAAAGGGTAAGTTATGGGCTGGGAAGATGGCTCAGTGGTAGAGGCCCTGGGTTTGATTCCTCAGCACCACATAAGCAAAAAAAGGGGGGAGGTAAGTTATAATTTGTAAGAATAAGAAGTGTACAACAGTTGAAACCAGAATGTTGGTTAATAGTGATGACTAGGACTGTTTTCAGAGGAAATACTAGGTATAAGTCTTCTCTCTGTTACATAGATCTGTGCCATGTGTCACAAAGGAGAAACACAAGTTGCCCTCTTGTGACACATGTGTCTCTGAATTTCTGCCTGTTTCCCAGCTTTTCATAGTTCCTCTTGTTAGAACTCAAGAAAAGTGTCCTAGAAAGATATGTGCCTTTGTGTGTACATTGATTGATGAGTATCCTGTAGGGAAGAGATCCTATTGTCAGAGTTACAGCAAGGAAAGACACCCTTAATGGGGAAATGGATAGTGGATTAGAATTGGAGTTATATTCGCTAAGCTGCTATTTATGTATAACTACTGTTCATTCAATCACCATAATTTAGCTACAACCTATATATCTTGTCATGTGAGAAGTACTGGGCAATCAAAAGTTGAGAATGGAATTTAGAAAGGAAGAGAAGAGCCAGGCACTAGTGGCTCACACTTTTTTAATCCTAGCTACTCAGGAGGCTGAAATCTGAAGATCGTGGTTCAAAGCCAGCCCAGGAGGAAAGTCCAGGAGACTCTTATCTCCAATTAACCACCAGAAAACTGGAAGTGGCACTGTGGCTCAAGTGGTAGAGTAACCTTGAGCTAGAGCTGAGAGACAGCGCCCAGGCCCAGAGTTGAAGCCCCATGACAAAAAAAAAAAAAGAAGAGAAGGAGGGAGGGAGTCAGCCCAAAAAGAAAGAGAATAAAATGTAGAAAACCATAAACTAATAACATAATAAGATACTGTTCAACTTGTAATCATGGGGTGATTTTTGTAGTATATTAAATTTTAGGTATATCTAACTAGTTATATGGACATTTGTAAACCAACCCAGAAACTTAATTAATCTTTAACTGATATTTGCTGTTCAAGAAAATGAATTTTGTTTTTAACAGTTGACTAACCAATGGATCACTAGAACCTAAAAAACTGCAAGTTAATTTGCCCCAAAATATTTCTTTATGAGTTTGTTTTTAAGCTACAATCTTAGTTTTCAGAATATACCTTCATTCTTTTTTTTCTTTGTTTTCCTTTTTTTTGTGTGTGTGTGGTCATGGGGCTTGAACTCTGGGCCTGGGTGCTGTACCTCAGCTCTTCAGCTCAAGGCGAGCGCTCTACCACTTGAGCCACAGCGCCACTTCCGGTTTCCTGGTAGTTTATCTGAGATAAGAGTCTCACGGACTTTACTGCCCAGGCTGGCTTTGAACCGTCATCCTCAGATCTCAACCTCCTTAGTAGCTAGGATTGCAGGCATGAGCGACCTTCTTTCTTTCTTTACTTTTATTGTGTATAAGTGAGTGTGTGTACCTCAATGTTAACATGCTCAAGAGAAAATATCATCCATGCTATAAAAGGCCAATTACTCAAGAAAGAATGAATTTACTTTCTAACAGCTTAAATTTTGAAAATAGTGTAGAGAATGTCTAAACTTTGCTTAGTAATAAAAATCAGAAAAGATATTCAGAGATAATTCTAGTTTAAGATGAAATAAGTATTAAGGGATCCCTATACTTATAGTCACTTCATCGTACCTACTGAAAAACAAAATAAAGTTGTCTTTTTAATGTTTTTTAACTTCAATTTTCAGGTTCTTGAGTGTATAAAACTGAGTGAAGAAACCACTACATCATCAAGTAGAATTTTTGTCAAAATATTTTTCCAAGAACTGTGTGAATATATGGGTCTTCCTAAACTTAATGCAAGATTAAAGGATGAGTAAGTTAATCATTAAACATGTTTTAGTCTGGGCTTTAGACTTTTCCCTCATTCTTAATATGAAGTATATGCACACACACACACATATGAAAATAAGGAAATTTTAAAAAATACTGCATGCACACATAAAATACATACTTGTACATACATGTTTGTCTAAACATTCATATATATGCATTTGTCTGAACTTCGTGTGTTGATATATTCATATATCAGAAGTCTTTCAGAAACCTCTATTGTGTAATTATGGAAATCGAGTTTAGCAAGTTGTTACTTGATGCTATTTCTTTCATTTACCTAGCTTGTGGCTTAATCTATAAACATATTTACTACTTAGTTGATTGCATTTCACTTACTAATTTAATATATGGAAAATCTGAAAGACTGTTGAAGGCCATTGCATGTTTATCTTTACATGTCTCTTTGTTTCCTTTTTTTTTTTTTTCTTTTTCAGAACTCTACAGCCTTTCTTTGAAGGATTATTACCCCGAGACAATCCAAGAAACACACGGTTTGCCATCAACTTCTTCACTTCTATAGGGCTTGGAGGCTTAACGTAAGGATTATCAGAAATTTATTTTCAAAATAAATTTCAAAATTAACTCACAATTGCTTTTTTGAGGCATAATTTAACAGATTATATTTTCAATTAGGGATGAATTGCGTGAGCATCTCAAAAATACACCCAAAGTCATCGTGGCACAGAAACCAGATGTTGAACAAAATAAATCCTCCCTGACCTCTTCCTCTTCAGCCTCATCCTCCTCAGAGTCAGACTCCTCGAACTCTGCGTCTGACAGCAGTGAGAGCAGTTCAGACTCTTCCAGTGATGAGAGTGACTCCTCCTCCAGTGGCAGTCAGAGCTCATCCTCAGGTATTGAAGCTCATTTATAATTTAATCTCCTTTTTCTAACTAGTGATCACTAGTGGTATTTGTAATGTGCTATTTAAAAGCCACACCTAATAATAAAAATGTTTAGCACTGTTAAAGTCTTCAGTGGATTACAGCATTTATAATACTAAAATGGTATTTTGGAATTAACTTCATAAAAATGAAAATACTTTTGACAAATGCCATCTGAATGTCTATGAATGTCTATTCTTAGAGTAGTTTTCCTGATATTTATATTTGAAATCTTAGTTTTTTACTTTTAGTATTAAAGATTTATGTAATTGGCATTTATTGTTCGTTGTATACCTCATGAGTTAGATGAATTTATATAGAGAATATAACCATATAGCTATAGCTAGTACTCACCCAAAGTTCTCTTTGTTTCCTGTTATTACTCACCTTCCATCCCTATGATACCTGGTGCTCTCACATGGCTTTTTGCTCATGTTTGGTGCTGTTTCATTTGAGCCATACTTTCAGTCTAGCTTTTTTGCTGGTTACTTGGAGTCTCATAGACTTTTCTTGCCCAAACTCGTTTTGGACTCTGGTCCTTAGATCTCAGCTTCCTATGTACCTAGGACTATAAGGATAAGGCACAGGAACTTAACTGAGGGTTGAATTTTTTTTTTCTTTCGTACAGCCTCTCACTAGTTAGTTGAGGTTTGCCTCAAACTCATTATGGAGCCCAAAGTAGTTGTAAACTCTTACCCTCCTGCCAAGTTCTCATATCATAGGTATGTGTCACCATGCCTAGCTGTTTTGTATGTTTTAACCATGGAATTAGGCAATATGAACACCTTTATGTCTAGCTTAGTTCCTGTTTTTTCAATCATTAATACTCTTTCCCACTGCTCAACTATAGGCAATTATAAGTGTTCTGAGCATACTTAAAAATAGTCTGTACTAAGCTATTATGTTTAGTAGGTTGTACATTTTTTCATCTTTTTCAATCCCAGTGAACATTTATTATGCTTACATTAAATGTCACAGACCTAAGAAACAAATGCCTATCTCTGATCTGGTTACAGTTGATAATACCTGTCCAGAAGTACCATCCTGCTGTTCTCTTTAGCTCAGGCATCCTTGTTCACTAATTGTAATCGCCCAATAGTGTGGTCTAGTAGGCATTTTCAAAACTAGAGCCTACTTAGGAAATGATGGATAAGTAGCACAGTGATACTTACAGCTAATAGTAATTTTGTTTGAAAGATAAACTGATAGACTCTTGTTTCTTGAGGAAGCACTGAGCTGGTTTACTATAATCATTTATGGCCTCACTGGCTTATTCCAAAAAGCTGGAGGTGGCTGATACCAAGTCACCAAGTGATTTAAAAGTCTGTGTGTTCTCTTGGTACATACCTGTTGTCAACTCTAGGTCTGCAGTCCAGATCAGCAGTTAGCTCTATACTCTGGATCATTAGTTGATTCTGATAGGTCACTGGTTGATTCTGGAGGTAGTATGGAGTAAGCACACAAGACAGAGCATGTCAGACCTATCAGATTATAGTGCCCACAAGGACAGTAGGAAAGCAGGCAGGTCATTTTATATTCCGCTCTGGCATAACCTCTTATTAAATTGAGAAAAATATATGTTTGTGTGTGGCGTTTGGGTTATATACCTTCAGATGGAATCACTGTTGTAATTCTAAGTGATTATTCCATGTTATTCCTTTCAGCTATATTTTGGCCTTTTTAAAAATTTTAGCCATTTTAGCAGTAATATTGCATTGTAGTTTTAGTTTTAAGTTACATTTTCATTATCACTAGTGAAGTTGAGCAGCACTTAATTATTAGCCATTCAGATATTTCTTCTTCTTGCTAGGTAGCTGCTTAAGTATTTTTTCTCTTCCCCTTCTCCCGTTAGTTTTATTAAGTTAACTTTTTAATTGATTTGTAGTTCTTTTTGTATTCTGCATATTCATTTTTGCTACATAAAACACATATATATGTATGTACATATAGTCTATGTACTTACATTTTATGTATATATACTATATACATATACACATGTAGACTCTGTATGTGTGTGTGTGTGTGTGTGTGTGTACTAACTAGTGCTATTCTTGTTTTTGCAACCCTGAGAGGCTGTCAGAGAGCTCTTCTGTCTTCTGTCTTTGCCCTCAGCAGCCCTGAAAATGTTTCCCGATAGAAACTAGCTATAGAATACCAGCTTTTGTGTGTTTCTGTCTTCTTAATTTTTAGCCCTTCTAGTTCTCATTTTTTAACAGTTCCTTTATGTTTTTAACTTTTCATTTTGAGCTGATTTCACACTGATAAGAAAATTGGCAAAAGCAGTACAAAAACCTACATCCACCTTCAATCTAACTCCTCCAATGTTAGCTTCTTACATAAACATACTTTAATTATGAACTGAAATACCTGAATTAACATTGGAACAGTATTTTTGGAACAGTATTAAAAACAATATTGCGTTTATAATTTTATTGTAAAAGTGATATACAGAGGGATTACAGTTACATAAGTCAGATAGTATACTTCTTTTGAACAGTGCCACCTCTTCATTTTCTCCCAGTTTTTTCCCTCTCGGCCTCCTACCCACAAGTTCACTGCTATATTATTTCACCCTTTGTCCCATCATTTCTGTGCTCCCTTTAATCCTCCCCAAATATATAAATTTGCATACAAGATAAAAGGTACAGGAATCAAAAGAGCAAAAAAGGGGAAAACAGAAAGCAAAATAACAAAAAAAGAAAACCTCCATTTCTTGGAGTTCATTTTGATAAGCATCATTTTATATGATCAGATGCACTTGGCTATTGAGCGTTTGTGATCCTCTCCTAAGAATATCCTCCTTTGGAATCCCTATGTGAACATTTGGTCCTGTTTCTTCTATCATGTCCAAATAAACTGTAGTAAAACTGAACTGCAGGCCTTACTTGGATGTTACCAGAAATGAAGGAGCTGATCAGAAATCAACGAACTCATATGTCTTCTTTCTTTTTTCAAGATCCTGTGTGAATTAACTACATTCTTCTCAGCCTCTCTTACCTCCCAGGCTCTCTGAGTGTTGTACAGTTCTTTGGTCACTTATTTTTGCCATCCTTCAATATAAATTAGTCTGCTTCTTTCTCTTGATTAGCATGAGGGTAGGCATTTTTGTCAAGCATACCATAGAAAAGACATGTTCTAAGTGCATCATATTGCTTTGTCTTAGTTTTGTTAATATTAATTTGATCACTGGATTAAGATCATATTTGCCTGATGTCTTTACAGAAGCTGTGTTCTTCTACTAGTATCTCATATGGAGATACTTTATTACTTATGTAGAAACTATTACTATGCAAATCTTTATCCTCCAGCTTTCACTTACTAATTTTGGCAGCTTCCTTTGGATCTTTGCAACATTTACTATGATCTTTGCCTAATGGTGATTTTCAAAAAATTTTCTACTCTGAATGTAGTAAGTGACTTTCTTCTGTAAAAAAGAGTTGCCTCTCTTCCCTCATTTATTTGTTCAATCATAATTTTATATTAGTATTCACTCATGATTATCTTTTTCTGAATTTTAAAGACCAGTGCTATCATTTATCTTATTGAAGTTATTTCACTTTAGGCAGCTAGGAGTTTATTCTGCTTGACTCCTGTGATCTTTCGACACATGGTCTGCCTGTACTTGATACTTCCTGTCATTCTAACACCTGAAATTGTTTCAGATCATCATCAACTTTAAGCAGAAGATTTTAAGTCTTTCTGCTATTTCTAGTTGCTTTCTGCAAAGCACAGATCTTTTGGTCTTCATTATCACAATTTGAGATATTGTTGTGAAACACTTTTTTCAAGATTGATTCTTGCTCAGTTTTTAAAGATTTTTTTTTTACCCAATTTCTGCTTTCTTGAATTGTAGTCTTATGTGGGTAAAGGACTGTCTGCTTATGTAAAATACATATTTATTTTATTTTATTTTAATGCCATATTTCACTTTTTACAGGAGTCTTAGGTTGGAAGGTTAATCTTTACACTCATTCTCTACCTTGCTATATCTTGGAGTGTTTTACATATATTATATACTGTATGAACTCCATAATTGTAGGATTATCGGATTTATAGTCAACCAGTATTTTCTGTTGTTAGAGCACAATTTCATTTCCTTAAATTGAAATAATTCAGATACTGTTCATTCAACGTTTACCTCTTAATTCTACACAATGTATTTCATGGTGTCCATTCTGAGAACATAGGATAGCACAGCATGAACTGCAGCAGTAAGGAAGCTTGCTGATGCAAAATTAATCTACCTTATTTTACTACTTACAATTTTACTAGAGTACTTTGATTGGTAAAATAATTCTCCCACATTTGGTTTTGATATGTAAGAATTTTTAAAATTTTAGTCATCTAAGTACTTCTATTATGTACCCAAGTAGTTAAATAACAAAGGTAAAATAACAAAGTTTGTTTTAGGATTTAAAATGCTAAAGTATTTCCCAGTGTTTTATATTTGTATTTGTGATTATATTAAATCCTTCAAGGTCTTTTTAGAAGTCCTTTCAGAAGTTAAACCTGTGTTGCTCTCATAAAGTCTGTGACTATAAATCCTAACAGATTCTTTTATTGGTTAAGCTAGTGACTGACAGTACTAGAAACTATTGCTTTCATAGAAAAAGGGTTTTATTTAAATCTTGTAGATTTATGCTGTCAAGAATCCAATTGTGCATCCCACCCTATGTTTAGCAAGTGATATCCATGATGTGGTGGGTGATCATTGTGTTTTGATTATGTACCACAGCCAGAATTAATATGATATAATGAAACTAATATGACATAATGTATATGGGCTAGAATTTCTATTTCAGGTTAAATTATGTAAGTGCAAGTGTAACATTTCTAGTTACACCAAAAAACTTTTACAACATTCTTTTCATGCTGGGTGCCAGTGGCTCATGCCTGTAATCCTAGCTACTCAGGAGGCTGAGATCTGAGAATTGTGGTTCAAAGCCAGCTCAGGCAGGAACCTTCATGAGACTATCTCCAATAAAGTACTCAAAAATAGCTGGAAGTGGCACTGTGGCTCAAGTGGTAGAGCACTCGCATTTAGTAAAAGAAGCTCAGGGATAGTGCCCAGACCCAGAGGTCTGGCAAAAAAAAGTTTCTGTTCATTGTCTTGAGTGGTACTTTGGTAACTAATATTGATATATTGAATATATAAAGTTACATATCTTGTCAGATATTCTATCAGACTTACAGTTAATCAGTTTGGCTTTGTTTTCATTTTATGTAAAAGAGTAACTGTATCTGTAAATACTGTTAAATTGTAAGTTACAGTTAAAATAAGTTACAGTTAACTTCATTTTATTTTCACACAGCTAAAAATATAAGAAATAAGGAGCAAGGGAAGACCAGAAGTAAAGAAGTAGATAAATTAATCAGGCACCAACAAGCAAATGATAAGAGAAAAGAAGAAAGAATTGCAGAACAATGGCACCAGGAAACAAGGATTGAAAGAGAAAGAAGGTCAGAAAGACACAGAGGTCAGAGCTCAAGAGATCCAAATTGGAGAGATCCCATAACAAAACACACATCAGACAGAAGTATTCCTTTCGAAGGAAATAGTTACCATAGAGCTGGGAATGACCGAGACCAAGAAATGCACATAGACTTAGAAAATAAGCATGGTGATCCAAAAAAGAGGAGAGGAGAGAGAGGAAGTTCTTTTCCTGAAAATGAGAAACATAGAATTCGAAGTCATGATGGTGAAAGTGTTAGAAGAAAAGCAAGATCAAAGTCAAGGGAAAAGAATAGAAAACATTCAACATCTAAAAGTGACGAAGATAGGTATCAGAATGGTTCTGAGAGACGGTGGGAAAAATCTAGTAGGTACTCTGAACATTCCAGAGAATCAAAGAAAAATCAACACTGGAGAAGAGAAAAGTCTCCAGCAAAGCAAAAATAATTCTACAACATAACAAACTGAACGTGCCTTATATTCCATCAGTGGAAGTGTTTTACATTGTGAACTTCATAGAGAACTCTTGTACAAAGCACTGGTTTGTATTTGTAAAGTTTGAAAATGTTTTCATTTCAGTGTGTTTTATAATTGATGCATTTCAAGGCCCTCTTGGTGTAATTATTGGGAAAGAAAAGTCTCAGCAAAAGAAGATGTATGCCTTGCTTATATTTTATAAATAAAATGGTGGTCTACGAACCAGTGGTTTTTTTTTTTATTGACAATATTTTTTCTTTAACACTCTAATTATTACATTTTACTATGATTAGTGGCTTTTTATATGTGATTGATGTCAAAACTATAGACCATTTCAGTAATTAATTTTTTATCAGTGAAATATGGTTGTCAGATGGTTGTCTTCGCAAGTAGAGGGTTAATTACAAGTTTTATATTATGTCTTAAACGAGGTAAGTGTATGTTAGTATTTAAACTGATTCACAGGTACATTATTTATAATTAGGATTCTCCATTGGTCGCAATTCTTCCCTCTTACTGCTAATTATGTTGATCTACAATTATTTGTGATTAGAACTTTTTTCAGTCTTGAAGTTGTATTGTAAGTTAATATATATTTAATTTTTAATTGGACTGGTCATTGAAAAATGTCATATATAAGTGAATAGCCTTGGAATAATTCTGTTTCTTAATAATAATTTTAGGGTTTCTGTCATTATAACTTTGATCAAATCATTTTTACTTTGAAATAAAAAATTACCTCTGAGATCTCAAATTGATTGACAGATATTTAACTCCACTTACTAAATGGACTTATTCTGCTTGTTTGCTTTAAAAGTAGATATGGTCCATTTTAGTCAGTGTTTGCATTCAGGAATAGTGAATAGCTTTAAGGCATGTTCTGGTTCAGAATGCTTTCTGTCTTTGTTATCTGGAAACTTTAACAGTCAAGTCCACATAAATATTCCTATCTTTCCCTTCTCTTCAACCCCCCCCCCCAAATTAGAAATATTGATATGACAGCTTGGAAAAAAAATGTTTTCTTTGTTGAGTCAGTACTAGTCTTGAACTCAAGGTCTCACTCAGTTTTCTTGCTCACACACATCTGACTGCAGTCCCAACATTTTGCTCATTGATTGGAAATGAAGCCTGGCAGACTTTTCTGCCAGTCAGGGTTTTAACAGCATGATATACTCCAGATCTTAGCTCTTGAGTAGCTAGGATTATAGAGATAAACGTGGAAAAATTCTTTGTGTTTCTCCTACCATTGTCATGTTGTCATTAAATGATAATGAATGTTGTTAGAAGAGACTGTCAAAGCTGTGAGGCCCTGTAGGAAGTAAATTCTATGTTTTTCTTTTCTTTTTTACCTGAATAGTCATCTTTAGGTGTGGTAAAATGGAACAAAAGAGATTAGGAATTGTAGTTTGTGTTCTTCATTTTACAATGTAAAAAATATTTTTACTGGGTACTTAAAAGACGTTTAAAAGTTACTGACATAGATTAAACTTAAAATTTAACTGAAAATATATTGAACTTCTACTATATGCCCAGTTCTGTTCTGATACCAAAGATAAAACAGTGAACAAAATGGTTTCTAGTTCTGTCTGTGGACAATGTAGAAAAGAGCAGAAGTCTTGTGGAAGTGAGAATACTTGTTTTTAGGACAAGATAGGTTCATGTTCATATACACTGGTAACTAACTACACATTTGACTGTGCATGGTTTTTTAATGTCATCTTTTACTGTTTGCTGCTGTTGCCCTTTTAGACAGACCCTTTAGCTGAAGCTTAAGTCATCTACCTTTGTCCTTCAGATGATGAAAGATCTCTGTGGCATTCTTTTTTCTTTTTTATACTTTTTTATTCAAGTAATTGTACAAAGGAGGTGGCATTTAACAAAGCAGTTTATGAATACAATGCATGTTGATCAGTGCTCTTCTTAGAACAGTGTCTCTATGCTTATACCATTATTGTTACCATTTTTATTGTTGTAATTGTCATTAAAGCTGACCTTGTACCACTAGGCCAGGAATTACAAACTCAGATACCTACAGTGGGCAAAAGGACAGTACAAATGAGACTGGTTGCACTAATGGTATATTGCGGTCATTTCCCAGGCATCAACATTTGCTCAGCTCTATCAGTCCTGTTTTGGAAACAAAGGCCTACGTTTGTCCATCTTTCTGGTGCTGAAGATAGTTAAAGAATCTGGATCTTTACCTTGCTCCCAGTTTTTAAATGCTGACACTAATCTGTAGGGTTAAAATGGGCCCAGTAGCACATGCTTATGGCACTGTGTGTGGCACATGCCTTTAGGCAGAAGGACTATAAGTTCACAGTCAGCTTGGGACTTTCAAAGAAAACCAAACATGATCTACAGTTTAACTAGATTTGGAGTAGTTTGTGATTGTATATTATTTACTTTTCTATTTTGGAAAGGTCATTTTTCAGTTTCTGCTCTTCATACAGTAGAATAGATATGCCCTTCATTATTTTTGAGAAACCACATGTACTCTGCTAAGCTCAGCATTCCCTTCTGACTATACTGTTATAAAACTTGTCAAGTTTAGTTTCTTGGTGTAATCCCTCCGTATAATTATTAAATATATTTTTTCTATTTCTCTGCAATTTGTTCCATCAGATTTGAGTTTTCAATGCCACTCTCTTCTAATTAGTAAATTGTGTCAGAACTTAAGTATATGTTCCAATCTTTCTATCCAACTGTGACTACTATATTTCTGCTCCTTCTTGTGTAGTTTTTAGTTGTACTGTTCAGTACTTTCCTGCTACCTACTGTTTCAGTTGGTAAGGGTATAGCAGTGTGTAAAAGAGGACCTGTTCTCAAATAAACAGTTAAAAAAAAAATGACAGAACAGAAACCATTAATTGAGAAAATGTAACAGTGAGTGCACTAGTCACCTTAATCTCATCTACCTCAATTCAACTGAGTCTTAAGTATTCCTGTCCTCTCATTCCCTTACACACTTATGTCCAGTGACTAGGCCAGACTAGAGGGTTAAGTAAAATTTCAGCCTATTAGTCTAGTTTCCTCCAAGTTCAACTTGCTCTTGGAGCTGCAATCATTTGAGCACAACTACATGACAGCATTTTAGTGTTTCTACAGGAACAACTGAAAGATAAGAGTTGCCCAATTTTATAGCTCATGTCAAGCTTATTATATGACAGCCAGAAATCCATTGGCCAGGCTATCCCCTGTGATAGTTAAGTGTTTCTTTTTTCTTATGATTGTCTGGACACATAGTCTTGTGGTGGCTAAATTGGTTATCTACTGTCCTGAAAAGAAACTGCTCTTTCTTACCATGAGTGTCTGCCACCTCTATCAACTGAAACACTCTTTTGCGTTTACTTGAGACTATCAAGACTACACATTTACCTCATACTCATGAAGGCTTCTCTTGACAAGGCACAGCACTTGATGTAGTTCAAAGCACATTGGGCATAGGCCTTATAATCACTTACACATTGAACAATAAGCTCATTATTTATCTTATCCCTCTGTCCAAGTAGGTTAGTCATTCTTCTGGGGCAAGCATTTGTCTTAAACATTGTCTTTTCCTCTGTACCACTACAAAACCCAGGTTTCTTAGCCTCCCCATTCTCATTTTGGTCTAATTAAACATTGCGGAGCATATGGACTAGTGAATGTCTCTAGTCCAAAACTAATCCTGTTAGGATGTTTTCACCAGTATCCCTTCCCTTACCAACTAACTACGAGGAACACACATCCCAGTTTAATATAGTGATTGTCTTCAGACATTTCCAGATAAGCTCTGGGTGGTAAGATGAGACAGTGTCACATCTAGTTGATCACCACTGACATGGAACTGGCAATCAGGAGGTACTCTAATGTATGGCCATGATAGTGCTTGTTTTGTACAGCATCACAGTGTCCCTGAATCCAAAGTTGTGCTGGTTTGTTCTGTTTTTGTTTTTGTGATGACAAGATTTGTTTTAAATAATGAGCTTAGTACTTAATAGAGCAGTAGAAAGGACTAGTTCTACTCTGTGTTTGGTAAGATATCCTGATACCTCATTCTGAGGGAAACAATCTGGTTGACACTTTAGTAAGGTTTCTGCAAAAATGGAGGCGTGATTATCCTGTTAATATCCCATTTAAGATTTGTCCCATTTAGGGTTTGGTTTCTCACTGTAGATACTTATTAATAATACTTCAGTAGTGGAAAACAACTGCTTGTGACTTTTGAATTATTTTTAATCTTGCATTACAGAACTAGGTTATTCTGTTTTTAGAGCAGTTTAACTTGCATAGCAGAATTGAGCAGTGGGTGTAGAGATATCTCAAAAACCCCTTGCCCCATTCATGCACTGTCTCTCCAGTTGTCAGCATCCCCAACCAGTTGCTCATTTGTTAAAATTAAACCTACTTTATTATATCACCATCCCCCCAAATCCATAGTTTACATTTGATCTAGTCTACATACTCTGGCAAACACCTTATGTATTGATAATGCACTTGAGTGACAGTTCATACCATTATTAAGATGAATAACTGTTTAATGCATTGTTTTAAGCATTACAAGACCTAAAAGTTGGGGCTGGGAAGGTGGCTCAGTAGTAGAGCGCTTGCCTTGCATGCTCGAGGCCCTGGGTTCGATTCCTCAGCCCCACATAAGCAAAAAGAAAAAGGCCGGAAGTGGCGCTGTGGCTCAAGTGGTAGAGCATTAGCCTTGAGCTGAAGAGCTGAGGGACAGCACCCAGGCCCAGAGTTCAGGCCCCACGACGGGACCAAAAAAAAAAGACCTAAAAGTTTGGGCAGATGAGATTGAACTTGCTTCAAATCAACTCTCCTTCCAGAAATAAGAATTCTGGAATAGCACCTTTGGTGTGATTAGGACACCTTTGGTGTGCTAATGAATTGCGTTTCTGTTTGACTTGAGATCTTCCTTCCCTAAAACTGTGTTTTTGTGGTCAGTACATGGGAAGTTCCTGTGAAGGCAATGGTGAACATTTGCTGCTATTGTCTGAGGGTTATTCCTCTTCCTGAGCAGATGGTTCTGGTGAACCTGCCAACTAAACACTCCTGCCATTGCACACATAATACCCAATTTTTCTTGGCAATGCAATTAGTTCTGGAGTGAGTGTATGATCTGAGCTCATCCATTTAGAATCCCACCCCAGTAGTTTTCCAGTTTGGACCATGAAATGAGATTGTGTCTAAGGGTATGCAGAACAGGGAGTTTAGTGGAAGTTCATTATCTT